AAAGTATAGTTTTATAGTAAAGAGGACTTAAAGAAAATAGTATATAGATAAGGTATCTTTATTTAGCCCTAAAGGGTATAGTAAAATTATTTTATAAAAAAAAAAAAAAAAACTAAAAAAATGCCTAAAGGCCCTAAAGAAAACCACTACCTAAATACTAAGGCTATAAAATATTAGTTACTATATATTTATAAAGGTATATATATTATTATATACTAGCTAAGGGTAGTATCTAAATTCTTTATTAGTAATAGAGTTACTAGTATAGGTATTAGAGAGCTAGGGGGGGGGTAAAAAAAGGGGTTAAACCCTATAAAGATTTATTATCTAAAGATAATAGGGCTATAGCAGTAGACTTAGCTATAAGCTAGATAATAGTAGTAGTATTATTAATAGTAGTAGTAATAATAGTATAGTAATAGGCCTAAAGATAATAGTATATACTATAGAATATTACTACTACTTTTATTAAAGGAGGGTATATTATATATAGTACCTAGCCCTCCTTAGCTTTAGTAATAGTAAGTACTACTATATAAGTAACCCCTAAGAAGTCCTAAGGGATCTACTATAATTAGCCCTAACCCTAAATAGTATTATTAAATACTTATTAACTAGCACTTATAGTACCTACTAATATAGTAATAATAATAGCTATACTTTAAGGGCTAGAGGTATAAAGTAGGCTATACTAATATTATTAACTAAGCTTAAGTAGTATATATACTATAGCTAGGCTAGTAAGAACTATAACCTAGATAGTAGTATAGGGGGAGGTATAGGGATAGAGGTAAGTAGTAGGGTAGGTAAAAAGCCCTAAAATAATAGTAAGGATAAGGGGGTATAGTAAGTATATTTAGCTATATACTAGCTATAATTCTTTAACTAAGTATAATAATATTTTACTACTATAGAGTAGCTAGGGCATAAGGAGGGGGTAATATTAGTAAATATACTATTATAATAGTTATTAATAAAATTATATAGATAGATCTATTATAGTATAAGTAGAGTATTAAGGCTTTATAAACTATTAAAGTATAGTAATAACCCCCTAAAAAATCTATAAATAATACATTTTTAATTAGAAAATAAAATAAATACAGTAAATAAAGCTAGATTATATAATTATAAGTACTAAAAAGGACTAATAAAGGTATATTATAGTTAAAATAGTATTATATTATATTTTAAACTAGATAAAGGAGTAATAATAATAAAATAAAATACTACTATAATATAATTAAAACCTATAGGAAGAAGCTATAAAAAATAGAGTAGATAAAAGAGACTAAAATAAAGCTAAATACTAATTTTTAGTAAGAAAAAAGATAATTTAAGAGTATATTATTAGGTTAATATTAAATAATACTAATACTATTATCTATAATAGCTAGACTAAAATATTACCTTATAATACTATAGAATACCTAAAAATATTATAAGGAGTAAAATAAAGGTAAATCTAGTAAATAGAAGTAATTCTAAGCTAGGAATAAAGGTATATATACCTAGAAAGATAATAATATTAGTATATAAGGTTATTAATAGAGAGAAAGAAGGTCTATACTATAAGGGCCTACTTAACTAATATAATAATATACTATATATAAGTCACTTAGTAATATACTAAGTATAAGTCTCTATATAAGAATACTAAAAATAATAATACTATACTATAGTATACTAAGATAACTAAGTAAACTACTATATAAGGAAATAGAGTACTAGAAAGTAATATTATAGTATAGTTTTAGCTTTAGAAAGTATAGGAAGTTAAAAAGTAGGAAATAAAAGCTCTTATTAATTAATATAAGAAAGGATTAAATCCCTAGAGATATAATAAGACTAACTAATAGCTATAAGGTTACAGCCTTTTAAAGGGGGGGGAGCAGTATTAGGGCCTATATAATATACTATATATAGGAACCACTGCCAAGACTATAATATAAATATATATATATGACCACATAGTGTGTATCTCTAATTATAGGTTTAGAAGGTTTTCCAAATCAGCAATTAGTTCTACTACCAATTGACCGCTATGTTTACCACGCTATCTGTATCAATAATGAGTCTGCGTACTCATAATATCGCACAATCTCACACTATAGGAGCTGGCTCTTTATATTCTTATTTTAATATATTCTATATATTAAAAGGTTTTGAGTTGGTCTAGTATCTATATTAGAATAATACTAGAGTTTTAGGTTCTAGTCTTATACTATTAAATATACTTTTAATAGTAAGATATTCTATAATTCCCTATTTTTTTTATTATCTAATTTATCTAAATTAGGTTTAGTAGGGCTAGATTATTATTATCTAATCTTATCTAATTATATAGGTTATAACTATTATTTAAGGCTAAGTTATCTAAGTAGTACTTTTCTAGTACTTATTATTTAAGTTATAGTTCCTCTTTAGTATAGTTATCCTATATCTTATTTAGGCCTTCTTGAGTTACTTTAAGCTCCTTTATACCTTAAAGTTATTTTTTATAATTCTAATTTCTTAAGTTTTATTATTGTCTTACTTTATAATCCTTTAATTATATTAAGTTTTATAGGTTAAAGTCTAAAAGGATCTAAGTATCCTTAACTAGCTAGCTATATCCTTTAGCTATTATTTAATTAATAATTAATTATATATAGGTTTCCTCTAAACTAATAGTTTATTATAGACTATATCTTAAATTTATATAGTTTATTATCTACCTTAATAGTTACTTTAATAAATTTAGTTAAGGAGTCTAGTTACTCTTACTAATTAAGTTCTTTCTATATATTAGGTTTTAATATTTCTTTAAATTATAATATATAAGTATCTTTATCCTAATCTAAGTAGGATATAACTTATTAAAACTTAAATATTAATTATTATATTAAGCCTATCTATCTAAGCTATCTTAGCCTTTATTCTACTTATTAAGTTATATCAATATTACTGAAGGTCCCTTTAAGTCTTTCCTTGAATTTTATATAAGATAAGAAGATTCCCTTAATATCTTTACCCTATTTTATATTTAGGTTTTCTTAGAAGTCTTATAGAAAAGGTTTAAACTAATTAAAAGTATTACTTAATAAATAAGTTAATATAAATATAACTTTATTAGCTTTAATATAGAGTTTCTCTCTATTAATATTAATATAGGTATCTATTTATATAAGAAATATTTAAAGTTATAATCTCTTTCCTATAAATAATTTAGGTAGTTATACTTTTACTAATTTAGTAATAAAGTAGTTTTCTATTATTATAATAGTTTCTTAAAGTTATTTAATTATCCCTAAGAGTTCTTTATTACTCTAGGTATTACTACTATTAATACTACTTACTAGAGTATTTCTAGCTATAATATTATTTTAAGTTAATTACTTAAGATAGACTAGTATTAATATTAGATAAGATATTATTTATATACTTATATAGATAGGTAATTAATATATTATACCTTAAGATCTTATAATAGTACCTAACTTATAACCTATAAGTTAAGCCTAGGGAATACTAACCTATAATTATAATCTAAGGATATTAATAGTAATTAAGGTACTCCTATAAGCTAAAAGTACTTAAGAATATAGTAAGGTAGTTAAAGAGAGAAATAAGGCTAAGAAGTATATATACTTCTTAATTAAGCTTAGAGATATATAAATAAGTAAAATAATTAAAGAAGTGATTAAAAGGTAACTATAAATTAATAACTATAATTAATTATAAAGAACTATCTAAGTATATAAAGTAAGTATCCTTATATATCTATCTTAATTTCTTATAGTACCCTAGATAGCCCTTTTAAATAGTATATATAAGGTATACTAAGATATATACTAAAGTATATACTATCTTAGATAGTATACTAAATAGTATATTTATTAAGATATAGTACTATATACTATGTTATAGAAGGGTATGCCTAATGGTAGCTATAAAGAGTACTAATATAGTAAATTATAATTCTCTATAATAAGAATATTCATTTCCTTGACTGCCTGATTCTGCCTGAAATGGTCACTGATAAAGGTGCCATAACACTATTCTTAAGGGATTATAAATATATTAAGTACCTATTTAGGTTCTTAAGGTCTATATTAGACTTTCATACCTTATATTATACAATTAGTAGGACCTTTATAAATAGGTATTACTTTCTTTATTCCTCTATATATTAGTATAGTAGTTAGTTCTCTAGTATAATAAAGAAGTTAGAAAACTTAATAATATTCTAGTATTCTAATTATTAAGCCTTATTATATTAGATAGCTATATATTATTAAAGAATTCTTAGGTTACTAATATAATTTTAATAGAAATCCTTAAATTCTTACTAGCTATATTTAATTATTTAACTATTTATTTCTTAGTCCTACTTTATAAGATACTTTAAATTAAGGTAGTTAATACTATGGATTACCTTTTATTACTTATTAATAATAAACTAGTCTTAGAATTATATAAAATATACTTTAAGTTAATTTATAAAATCTTATAGTTAATATATATTCCTACCTAAGAATAGGTTAATACTTACTAGATATATAAGAGGCTTTACTTTATTATTATTATTATTACTAACTATAATTAAGGATATAGTTTATTATTATTTATTAGAATCTATATATTTAAATAAAGAATTAGGTTAACCTTACTAATTTTAAGATAGATTAAATTAGATTATTAATATTAGACTATATATTTTAATTAAAGGGTATTATATTTATATAAATACTTTAATCAAGGTTATTAAGCTAGTTTTATCTTTAATAATATATTATTAAATTAGCTATAATTAATAAAGCTATTCTTATCTTATAAATTTAGCTTTAAGTTATTAGGCTTTAGCTATTTGATCCTTAAGGTCTAAATTAGTATAGTTATTATCTTATAATATATTATTAATAAGAGGTTCTAATATTAGGGTACCTAAAGTATAAGGTATAGTATTATTATTATCTATAGTCTAATTAATATCTATATCCTAATCTTTAGGTATTATAGGGAGTTATATAAGATATCACTAGGACCACCATGCGGCAACCAGTTATAACACCCTTATTCTTATGTTGCTATAGAATCAGACCTTATTCTCTTAATCATATGATTAGTAGCTCATACAGTAATAGTAGCTGATACAGTAATAGTAGCTGATACTAGTTGTCATAATATCAAACCTGCATACCTGTATTAGCGCACGTTCTCACAAAGCATACATACTGCCAATCAGCACAGCCGCCACTGGCTCTGTCACTTTACAAGAGGGCTAAGATTCAATTAATTAACCAATAAATCAATCATGATAGCTAAATTTGTACTGAAAACTAGACTTCTTAACTAATATCATAGCGTATGGCGAACAATACACTCAAAGCCAATTTAATTGAGCCTTTGACCCTGACACATCCGCGGATGGGGATTCAAGCTCGACTTGGTTACCGTAGTGAGGCTGTTCAATAGTTTCACTGGTCATCGGAGAAATTGCAGCTGCTTCTGCAGAAGTGATAAGATTCTTGAACCAGAATCCAAGTTCTCCCTTCTCAAGATATCCACCAAATATCTCATCTTCTCTATCAAGATCACGTGCAATTCGGGTTCTTTGCTCCGAACGATAACGTGAGACCAAGAGATCGGAATCTGACTTGCTCAGGATGACCTCAGACGGGGAAAAAGGCATATAGAGAGATTGAAGATTGGCCTCTTCACTGTTTCCTGTATTGCGTCAGCTTATCTCAATTAGAATTTAGTTCAAGGCACATACTATCTCTCACACATAAGGCCAGTGTACGAAATAGAGCAGTGTCATGGACAAAAGATTCCGCTCCATCACCCATTTTCTCTGCAGCCTTCCCTGCTGCTTCCCAGTTGTCTCTAATCATGCACCTTCTCCATACTAATTTTTGCAGAGCAGCATGGTATAGCGGATCTTTTTGAGCATAAGAACTGAGACGGACGATTCGAAGAGCCAAGTAAAACTCCTTGCCCAAGAAATCGCTATGACCGTATCCAAGGACGTCACCAGGGCCAATAAGTGTCAGTAAATCAATAAGATAATCAAGACTAATGACCTGCCTAGTGATCACCTTTGTCAGAGTGTGACTAAGTATCTCATGGAGCGAAGGTCTGTCCTGAGCAATGGCCTTCCCAAAATGGTCAATTGCAAGATCAACTTCTGCTTTTTGGTCAATGGCGCCTTGTAACGCTGGCACAATATGTGCATAAACAACTTCTTGAACAGCGTCTATTTCAGCGTAATCTTCAAGTCGCTTGATGTTTTCCTGAAGCGTAGACTGACTAGTTGCAGCAGTCCTCTCCCATGCCGCTAATTTGTTGAGTTTCGCCAGGGAGAGCTCAACACGGTGATTCCATATGTCTGATTCATGTTCTATGGCCAAGGTCTCCAATGATCGAGCTGCGGCATCGTAATCCTTCTCACCGATCACATCATTGATCCAACTTAACCGGGAGTAAGCTGGAAATTTCCGTAAGAATTGGGTGATAAAAGGTTGGAATTTTCTCATGGCAAACAAAACACCCGATTGGCCCATGGATATCTGGCGGGAAAAGAAAGCCTCTGCCCACGAGTCGCCAAATCGTTCGAAATAAAGCGAGATCTTATTCCCAAGCTCATCAGTTTCATTTTCAATAGCATGCGTCGCATCCCCCAAAGAGGCTTGCTGGAACAGTTGCCCTTTCGTTTGATCTTGGAGTTCAATGATGAGTTCCACCAGCGCACCCATATCTCGGAATTCTTCAGCTAAAATGATTGCGTCATCCAGCTGTCCAATTCCCGCTAGTTTGAATAATTGCCACTTTCGTTGTTTGATATGTGCTTGCTCCGTAGCGATACCCTCGTCCATCAGTCCAGTATCCGCCTGGGCAGAAAGCCATTTTACTCGTTCACAGTGCATCCGTCCAAGTATGCGAAGTTGCCTGGCACTGTTTTTTGAGATCTTCTTCACAATTTGATTGTCGGGCACCTCAGAAGTCGGCATCGTTTGCTGGGTCCATGCCCTAGAGCTATCGAGTTCCAAGTCCAATAAGTGGCCTGTTTCAATGTAACCCATGGCCTGAGACGTCCAAAATTCTGGGAGACCCTCGTAACCGGTAGTCAGCACACCATTTTCCAAGAATCCTTCATTTATGCCGTAAAAGCGAGCACGCTCATCGCGATATCGAAAAGCAGTTTCCAGTACTGCTAAAGAAAGTTCGCTGGCCTTCAGTATCTGATCTGCCATCTTCCGGCTTTGTCTTGAGGTGGCCCCTTTCTGTGGCTTTATAGCGTTGAAAATCCATGGAATGATATGCTCCATTTGAAAGGTGTCATGCAGGAACCAGTGGCGTACAGTGTCACCATCGTCGTTCTGTGGCTCGTATTTTGTTTTAAATTTGTCACTCATCAGGTCAATAACACGAGCCAAAAATGTTGAACACTCGCTGCTGTTTCTCCTAGATTCCTCCTCGATTTTCCACATAGCTCTTTGGGCCGCCAGTTTTTCGGCGCCCCATAGAAGTTCCCACCAAGCCAGGGGATTCAATGTCTTGGTGTGTTGCATTAATAGCCCAGCGAGATCATCCAAGGCCTTTGCCCGGGATCTTAGGTTTTGGTCAACCGAGATCGCTGTATTCGGAATGAACTTCGACTCGGATCGTAGCAATTCTTTGCAAATTTCTAGTGCTGCTTGCTCGATCTCTTCAGCAGGAAAGTTCAAGCCGCCTGTACTGATCAAATCCAATGGATTTTCCAGTATTGTCCCGTAGAAAACAGCTTGCTCGATCTTGTGTTTGGCGGTTATTCTCCCATACTCGTCTTCGGTTTCAGCGTTTCCTCGAGGCAAAGCTGTCACGCGAATGATCCCAAAACCTCGCACCATAACCAAACAAGCGGGGTGTGAATCTTCACTCGTTTGATCTTCAAATCCACTGCCCAATATTTCATATTCTTTCCCACTCCGGAAACTTATAGTGTCGTGAAAAGGTTGCGGTAGTCGATTAGAATCGACCAAAAGTTGCGAAGTTGGTGACTCTTCAAACTCTGACAATGACAGGAGGATAACTGATTGTTCGATGACAATAAATGCTGTATCACCGGGTCTAGGAACGGATAACTTCGGCTTCACATCGTCTGGACTTGCGGTTATACCAAGCAAGTCAATAGAACGAGTTGATAAAATATTTGTTTTGTCCGACAGTATTAGATGGACCAGGAACAGGTTTCTGGCGCCAGATATTCGAGGTGGTGCTACAACCAGAAAAATGGGCCATGACTCTTCTGCAGAAGTCGGCGATTCCCGTCCATCACCAAAATCTCCTGCCGCGAATGCGAAGTCCAAGATTTTGAGCTCATATTCACCAGACCCATCTGTACATGATGAACCCAAAGAGCATGACAATTCTTGCTTGATATCAAATTGCTTCTTGAGAATGCTCCCATTGTTCCAATGTGTATCCCAAACTTCAAAAATACCTGTCGATGTAGCAATTATAATATCTCGTTGTCCCCGTTGGTGCGATCCACCAGCTCGAGCGGCAGCCACTTCTTTTCTCCAAGACCCACCTCCCAGAACATTTCGTATGCCGTCGAAGAACCCACCACTGCTGCTACCTGCTGAGCTTCGGAGGAAATTGACAATCACGGTAGGCTTTCCTTGGGAGTCTCGCACAGTTATATGGGCTACTCTCCCGGATGAAAAGGTGGCGATTACGCCAGAGGGTTCCGCATTCATAACTTCTATGGCATACTCGCCAGATAGCAAGCCAGAAATCGACCCTTGAAGTCCATTTTGCTTCTGTCTAGGTAATCCAAACGAAGCGGCGCTCGACACAGTTTCCCAGTATATTATCTTTCCCGTAGAAGGCATGATGACCATCAGACCCGGGGGCCCAGCTGTCGCTGTTGATAAAAGGATTCCAAGAGGAATCTGTGAATTAGGATCCCTACATGACTCAGGAATTATAAGCGTGAAAACATCACTAGGAGACGGCGATGAGGCGGATGTTGCGTAAGGCCAAATCACTGCGTAGGATCTCGTCAGAGCCAATGCATAGCCGTGGCCATTTGCGAAGAAGCACTTGAGAGGCTCTATTTATTTGCATTAGAAGCTTGCGGCATTACGTTTCTTCCTCTTTTCGAAAAGAACTTGCCTGATTGGAGCCCGCGAATTTGATCGGGTAGAGTTGGCAATTGAGAGACATCATAGAACTCTGTTCTAGACTGGACAAACAGTGTAAGTAACTAAATGAGCGAGGAAAGGAGGTGCTCCAGGCTGGAGATAGGGTATAGCAACGAACAAGCACAACTGTCCCGTCAGTTCCATGATCACGCTTTTCAGGTTTCTTTGGACCTCTAATTGAGAGACTTTTTTGGGAGTTAGTCTTTTCTGCCGGCATAGCGTTCAATTCATTGGGCTGAACAAGTCCTCGGGGGTCCATTGGTCCATTTGGAATTTCATGCTCCGTTTCATTATCTGAAGGTCTTTCGAGGTCTCCGTAGCGCAGAACGGATCGTTGCCTTTTGGCTTTCGGGGGGTTGACGGACTCATCAGAGCTTGTACGCTGACGCCTTCGAGGATTACGAAGAGAAGCCGCAGCTGCCTTTGGCACGAACATTGCTGGGCTCCCGAGATGTAAAAGACAGTATCAAGGGGAGGCGCCGAGGTTGTAGCAAATGAATTGCGATATGTATGTTACTTCAACTCAATAAAAAGAACACAAGAAAACCATGAACCATGCGTGATTTAGCAAGGGGCTTCTCACAATGTATAGCCCTGGGATTTATTAGCCCTGTTAGGCACCAAGCTGCTGCTGTTTGACAGACATTAAATAAGTAATTGAAGAGCGTTTACCGTTATTTATTAAATATGTTAAATACATGAATAGAAGGCGGTGAAACTACAACCTCAACTACCCACAGGCACATGACATAGCATCCCTGTATCTCATGCATATTTCACTTCATTTCATGTACAGAGTACAAGGCATAGCTTTATACTTTGTGTACATGGTCTTGTTCTCATGATGCCCATGCCTTGGACTGGAATTTTCGATGTCAAGGCCATAAGGCTTCCCATGTTCTGAAGCTGAAACATGCTATCTACTTCATCTAAACCAACAAAATCTCTACCTTATATAATAACCAATCTCTACCATTCCGGCTATCAATCACTACGAACCAGAAGCTTAAATAAACAATGCACTGCTTTCCTTTCTACCAGGAGAGACCTGCGCACGGCTCTTTTTTTCCCTGGTTTGGATCCTTGGGACACCTCAACTGATCGATATGTTTTGCTGAGACTATTTGTAGGCCATGGAGTGCAGAGGGTCGGCATGATAGACCCCTGGCTTGATATATTCCCGAAAACTGCTCGCAATATTCTAGATGAGATGGATGCCGTTCTAGGATATCATTTATCTCGAATCATATTGCACGGTCCGAACTCAGTTCTAAATAAAACCGAAAACTCCCAGCCTGCTATAATGACCACGTCAGTATTAATCCTTCGGATACTCGAAACCGAATTTGGTTTCGACACGAAGTCCCGTGTAGATGTCACCCTTGGACATAGCTTGGGCGAGTTCTCTGCTCTGGTTGCTGCAGGGTATCTCAACTTCGGCGATGCTCTCAAATTGGTTCGACGTCGCGCCGAGATTATGGCAGAGTGTACGCGGCATGCGTCTCAGTTATCCGGCGAATGTTATGGAATGGTAGCACTGGTGTGCGAGCCTAATCATCTGGAGGGGCTGCTCACGACTATTCACGAATTTCTTGGTCTTGGGTCCCCTGGGTCAAGGGATGACTCCAGCTACGAGATGCCCCCAATCCGACAAGTCATGGTTGCAAACGTCAATTCTAACAACCAGATAGTTCTCAGTGGGAGTATCGAAAGAATCAGAACACTTCTCGTCCAGCTTCGCCAATTTGGTGGCCACGACCCACGGGCGGTGAGATTGAAGAGCGAGAGCCCATTCCACAGTCCCATAATGGCACCAGCGGCCGACTACATGAAAGGCGCACTTGAAAAAATCCCGATTACCTTTCCAGCACTGTTGCCTTGTGTATCAAATGTCTCTGGCCTACCTTTCAATTCCAAGGAAGATCTGAAATTCTTATTATCCCGCCAATGTGTTGACACCGTGAGATGGTGGGACAGTATAAGATATTTAGATAAAGATCAAGGTATAAAGCGATGGGTCGGCATAGGACCTGGCAAAGTCGGGAGAAATTTGGTTGGCAAAGAGGTTGGAAAGGTAAGGACCAAGGGAGGTGGTGTTTGGGCTATATGTGAGCCTCGGGATCTTGAGGCTACGATGACCGCTCTTGAGCAAACCGAAAATGAAAATATGTAAATATATATATATATATATACATCAAGTGCTTCAATGTTTTGCTTCTGGGTCGGACACATAAACTTTCCAGTAAAACCTAGAGTTTCTAGCTACTAAATTGCGCATTGCTGCGAAACATTCTTGATGTCCAGGTGTATGCCTGCCTAGGTACCTACATAGATATGGGTTTTTTGTCTTGTAGCATTACCTGTCCTTGTCCCTCAATGTCTCACCAACCGCTCACCTCATTACCTTTTCCCCGTCAACAGGACAAGGTGTTTCATTTACTGCAATCATGACTTAAGCAAGACAAGGTTCCTTTTCCCACACCCGCCAGTAGTAGGCCTCTCTCCAGAATTTCAAGATGCATGGAGATTTTAGCATCCCTATCTCGAACAAATTAGGGTATTGAAACCATGTAATGGCATAAAAACCTTAAATGGTATTGATACCAGGAGTCCAGGTTTCACCAATTTGCCGGACTGTGGTGATAAACTTTTGATTCGTGATCTGCAGAGACATAGACGTTGGTGCAGTGGCAGTCTTGCCTACAGGAATATGGTCATCTGGGGAATAGAACGGATTCTGCAAAAGCTGTATATAGGCACTTTGCAAAGCGCGAAAGACCTAGGTCATGTCAGTTTGTATAATCGACTTATATAATATACACAATCCAACATACCGGTTTCAAATCCGAATCTTTCAAACCGGCTATTGCAGCAGTGCTGTGGGCTTCACACCCAACAGCTGGTTGCCCACCTAAATTCACTATTACCAGGAATTTTACTCCTGTAGTTGTTAACCAGCCATATGCTGCTAATCTCTCATCCATTGCGTGTAATAAGCCTAGATCTTGATCGATAGATGTTTGCTTTTGTCGAATCTCAAATATATCGAGGCACGAGTTTAATAGAAAAGAGAATTCAATAGTTGAATTCTGATAAGGAGGGAATAATGAAACGTGTAAAGGATTGTCCTTGGAGACGTTAGCATCGATTGACCTTGGTTGGATAGGTTGGATAGGACAGGATGCTGATATCCTTGCTTTCATACAGCCTTTCCAATAACACCAATACAAGCAATTATTGGCCCCGTCATCCTGTGAAGGGTGTTCTCCTTTGTTTTATTACTTTTCGCGTCCCTTCCTCGATTCTTTTTCAGCTTTTATTTTCAGATTGTCGATGTTTTGATGTTAGGGGGCATAGGTGAGATGCTCTTGCATGGCATCCATCTACCCACACCTAATTACCTAGTTACCTCAGTGACCTCAGACCCTATGTGGTGTCATGTGATCCTCGTAGTACACGCGAAACCTAATATAGTTATATGGCTGGAGAGCAGGTTCACGTTCACCAGAGGGTCTTAAGGGGAGGGAGGACCTACATGAGATCTTTAACCTAAAAAAAATAACTTAACCTTTTAATAAATCTTGTGTTTTTTAAGATACTAATTTAGTAGTAAGATATCTATACTGATATATTAGCTTATAAAAGCCTAGCTTTTTAATATTAACGTTATGGTGTTAGATATTTTTTTCTATTGTAAATGTTTTATAGAGCTCTAGGTGAGTTTACTGTAAAATTCTCACAAGCTATGTAAATGTATAAGTCCTTCGCTCAGACGCTGCACTAACGTAATCCACGGCCGAGCCGCCAACATGACCGAACCGCCAATTTCACTGCAACTTCTAACAAACAAATTAAAATAAGCCACTGCTGCAGTCTTTAAAGTGCCTAGAGAAATACTTTATAATTAGCTTTATGGTATTAAACTGTGTATAGAAATATATACTAATAGCTATAAATTAACAGCTCTTAAAGAAGGAGTCTGTCACACCCTGGGATCTCGCAATGGTACCTAACCTGTAACCTGTGAGTCAAGCCTGGGTAATACTAACCTATGACCCTAATCTAAGGATGTTAACAGTAACTGGGGTGCTCCTAATAAGCTATGGTACTTAAGAATACAGTAAGGTATTTAAGGAGAGAAGTAAGGCTAAGAAGTATATATACTTCTTAATTAAGCTAGAGATATATGAATAAGTGGGTAGAATAATTAGAGTAGTAATAGAATAGTAACTATAGAATAATAACTTATATTAATTATAAAGAACTATCTAAGTATATAAAATAAGTATCCTTATATATCCTTCTATTATATCTATAGTCCTCTAGATAGTATGCCAGTAGTATACCATTCTATATACTAAGATATATACCATCTATATAGGTATATTAAATAGTATATTTACTAAGATATAGTACCTATATACTATATTATATAAGTATAGTAGTGTCTGCTAGATAGTGGCTATAAAGAGTATAATAATAGTAATTTATAATTCTCTACTATAAGAATATCCTTTCCTCTTAACTACCTAATTCTACCTAATATAGTTACTGATAAAGGTGCTGTAATATAATCCCTCTCTCTTAGGATTATTATCCCTTAATAATTATAAATTTATTATATCCCCTATTTAGGTGAGTTTCCTATTAACTTCTTTTCTTATTTTTTTAATAACTTATTATACTAGAGAAGTATAATTATTACTATAAATATACTTTATAGGTAGATAGAATCTTAAAAAATAGTTTCCCTTCTAATCTTCCTTATATCTATTATTCTTCCTATAGGGTTCCTTATATTATAGATTTAAAAAGTAAGAATTATGCTTTATATACTTATTATAATTAGAAGTGTGAATACTAGTTTTATAATAAGTAAGAGTAGTATATACTTTAATAAAAGTAAGAGTATATTAATTAGGAGATTTAGGAGGCTAAAGAGGCTTCTATAAAAATATTTATAAAACTAATATACCTTTAAAAATATTAAAAATTCTTAAGAAAGTGTGGTGGTTAGATATTAGAATATAACTCTAATCTTCTTAAATTATTAGATAAGGAGGATCCTCTAAGCACTAAGGATCTTTAAGAGCTAGACTATCTTACTAATAAGTAAGAGGCTACTTAGCTTACTACTATATTAGATAACCCTAGTCTAACTTAGATAATAAATTCCCCTTCCTTCTAGGCTAACTTTAATCTATCTATTAGTAGAATTCTTTCACTAACTAAGGGTAATCTATTATATTTAAGATAGGTTCCTATATATTTTCTAAGGTATTATATCCCTTCTATTTCACTAGGTAAAGTGGTTTACTGCTAACTTTTTAATATTCTAAGATTTTTTTAACTTTATATTCCTATTTATTATTATTATTAATTTCTATATTTTAAGTAAGTTTAGTATTGACTAGTACTGGTTCTAATAATAAAATATAAAAGACTAGGTATATATATCTTATTAATTCTAGTAGTTATAAATAGTAGTTTACTAGTCCTATCTTTTCTTTAATTATAAATAGTCCTAATTTTTAATAGTTAAGTTTTATACTTAGTCTTTTTATTTTAATATTTCTATAAAGTAGGAATACTTTCCCCTTCTTTTTAAGATCTAGTCCTTTATTATATTTTTTATTATAGTAACTGGCTATCTATAGATTTATAAATTCTAAATCTATTAAGAGTTATTAGTAGTATTATTCTATTATTATTACTAGTTATTCTACTTCTTCTAAGTTTAATTCTTATTAAATTAGTTTTCTAATAATATTCAGATATCTATAGTAATTTATATAAAATAGTGTCTATTTTATAATGGAGTATATAGAGTTATTAAATATAAATTATACTAGGGGTAATAATTTACTCTAGTTATTTTATTAATAGTTAATATAGTATTATAAATATTATTTAATTATCTAATTAATTTATTTAGTTTACCTATTTACCTATAGATAATAAGTAGTAGTTAACTAGTAATAAACTCCTATTATCCTTATAAGGGATATCTAGAATTTTAAGGTAAAGAGTTTATCTCTATCTAAGGTAATACTTTCTAGTAAACTATAATTTATAATAATTTCTTTTAAAAAGATAAATGCTATCTATTTTATATTAAGTATACCTTTTACTAGTATAAGCTAAATATACTTAGTAAGTTAGTTAGTAAAAACTATAATAGTATCCTATCTACTTAAAGGTAGTAATTAAGTAATAAAGTCTACTATAACCTATTCCTATAGTTTTATAGGTGATTTTAGTATTTATATATTTTTATAGGGTTTATATCTTACTAGTTTATCTTAAATATATAATTTATATCTTATTATATATTTATGCACTTTTACCTAAAGGTATAGTATATAAAAGTTTTTTATAATATATACTACTATTTATTCCACTCTTATATATCTAAATATAGGGGTATTATAATATATGGTTATAACTTCAGTCTATATACTCTTAGGTATATAGATAAGTCCTTTAAAGTATACTAGTCTATTATTACCCTTAATAAATCTAGTATTATCCTTAAGTTTCTTAAGTATCTCTTAGATTATTTAATCTTTTCTAGTTTCTATAATAAGTTTCTCTTTAAACTTATCTAATCTAATACTTATAGTAGCTATAATCTAATATTAGTAATTATAACTAAGACTACTATCTTTATTTTATTTTAGGATTACTAGTTTATAATATTTCCTATTAAGTATATAGTCTAGTTATTAACTAAGTATATCTACTTAGCTATTTTCTATTCCTTTATAGTATATAATATAGAAGTTATATTCTAAGAGAACTTCTAACTATCTTACCTACCTTTATATTAACTCTTTAGTTATTATAAAGAAGGTAAGGTTCTTATAGTCTATTTTAATAAGAATTTAATACTAAGCTCCTTTAAGATAGACTCTCTATATCTTAAAGGTAATTACTATTACTAGTAACTCCTTATTATAGATATTATAGTTTAGTTTAGCTTAAATTAGTTTTTTTAAGTAGAATATAATTAGCTATAATTTCCTATCTTCTCCTAGCTATATTATTCTTATACTAATTATATAGTCTAAGGTATTAGTTTTAATAGTTATCTCCTTTACTAGGTTATATTATACTAAAATTAGTGCTTATATAATTTATTCTTTTAATTCTTTAAATACTTCCTACTATTCCTAGTTCCATTTAAAAGTATCAGATTTTTTAAGTAGTTTAAATATAGGTATTATAGTTTTTATATAGTTATTAATAAATTATTAGTAGTAATTAATTAATCTATAATACTGCTATAGTTCCTTAAGATTTTTTAGTATTAGCTAATCCTTAATTACCTATACTTTTATCTAATCTATATATATCCCTTCTAGGGAGATTTAGTGTCCTAAAAAGTCTATTTCTTAGATATAAAATTTATATTTTTTAAGTTTTAATTATAGTTTTACTTTCTAGAGTTTTATAAGTACCTTTATAACATACTAAATATACTTATTAAAATTATCTAAGAATATTAGAATGTCATTAAGGTATATAATAATAAAGATATTAAGATATTCTCTTAATACTTTATTAATAAATTATTAAAATAATATAGGTATATTAGTTAGCCTAAATGGTATTACTAAGTATTTATAATCTCTATATTTTATTTAAAATACTATTTTCTATTCTTCCCCTTTAGTAATTCTGATTTAGTTATAAGTATCTATTATATTAAGTTTTATAAACTATTTTACTCCCCTAATCCTATTCTAGATCTTTAAGATAAGAGGTAGCAGGTATTAATCCTTAATATTAATATTATTTAGTAGTCTATAATCTATATAAAGTTATAGGCTATTATCTTTTTTTAGTATAAATAAGATACTATATCCTACTAGTAATTATAATATTTAAATAGTACCTTTTACTAACTATTTATTAATATATTCTCTAAGTGCTTCAGTTTCTTTATCTAATATATAGTAGATTTTTTTATAGATTAGTTACTTCCCTTCCTCTAGAGGGATCTTATAGTTATAAGGTCTATATTCTAATAGTTATAGTTTTTATAGTTATTTAAATAATTCCTAGAATATTATATACTCCTAGGGTAACTATAGTAGTTCTTAAGAGTCTACTACTAATTCCTTAGTATATCTATACTTCTATAAGCTATTATCCTAATCTAAGGGTCACTCTACTAATATATTAGAGTAATATTCCTTATCCTAGAAGCTATTAATAATATCCTTAATAATAGTTTATTTATAATATTTAGTTACTATTACTAGTGCCTATCTAGATAGTTATACTAGCTATACTTAATCTAAAGCTTTACTAGCTACTAGAATCTTAGTTACTTTATTACTAATTATAATATTAATTACCTTATTTAATTACTTAACTCTACTCTTAAGTTCTCCTTTATAAGTATATTATTAAGATTTAATAGTATTATCCCCTATACCTATTAATCTAGGGCATTTATAATTTACTAGCTATATTATATTTACTTTCTAATTAATTTCTAGGTTATAATTCCTAAGCTAAGGAATCCTTAATATTATATTATACTATCCTAATAGTATTATATTAAAGTTAAGTTACTCCTTATAACCTATTATAACTAAGGGTATAGATCTTAATTTATCTATAAGATAACCTCCTAAATCTTCTCTATTTAAACCTATAAGTAGCTCTAGTTAAGCCTTCTTAATCTTAAGTATACCTAGCTACTATTTATATCTTAAATCTATATAATTTCCTATTATACTTAAGTTAATTATTATCTTTACTAATTATTTAAGTACTTTAATAATAAGTCTAAGGTAGAAGCTCTACTATATCTTATTTACTAATAATAACTTTTCTCTTTTAAGCTTATCTAACTCCTTCTAGGCCTTATTTAAGATTTTATTAATTTATTTATATACCCTATCTTAGTTTTACTATCCTATCCTATATTAGGTGAAGTAATATCTTCTTTTAAGTAGCTTTATAATATATTTATTTAACTTAAAATCATCTTATAGGGTTCTTTAAGATTACTTAAGTAACTTATAAAGTCCCTTCTAGTAGGATACTAGGCCTTTCTATTAAGTACTATACTCTTTATCTAAAGGATTAATAGCTTACTAATCTTAGTTAACTACTTTATCTATAGGAACTAGCTCTTTATAGTTCTATCTTAGTATATTCTATATACTAAAAGGTTCATAGTAGATTTATTATTTATACTATAATAATACTAGAGTCTTAGGTTCTAGTCTTATATTATTAAATATATCTTTAATATTAAGATAGCTTATATAGTCCTAGTTATCTTTATCTAATTTATTTATTCATACTAATTTAAGTGGGGCTAGATCCTTACTATCTAGTCTTAATTAATTATATAATATATAGCTCTTATCTAATACTAAGTTATCTAGGTAGTATTCTACTTCTATTTACTATTCTAGTTATAGTTCTTCTTCTATTTAATTATCTTATATTATCTTAATTAGACCTCTTTTCCTTATATTAAGTTCTTAATTAATTTCTTCTTTACTTAACATGGTATACTGTTAATAGAGTTTCTAAAGTTATAGGTCTTTATTTATTACTTTAAGCTTCTTTATAGCTTAGAGTTATTTTCCTAGGTTCTAATTTCTTTAGTTATACTATTATCTTACTCAGTAATCTTTTATTATATATCTAGGTTTTCTATAAAAGAAATAAAGCTTTTCCTTATATTATTATTTCTATTCTTCTAGCATTATGCCCTTTTATCTTATACTAGTTATATTAAGTTCTATTAGTTATAGCCTAAAAGGATCTATATATCCTTAGCTTACTAGTTATACTCTTTAGCTGTTATTTAGTTAGTAGTTAGTTATATACTAATTTCCTCTAAACTAGTAGTTAGTATATCAATTTTTAAATTTAGCTAGGGAGTCTAGTCATTCCTATTAAATAAGTTTTTCTTATACTTTAGGTTTTAGTATTTCTTTAAATTATAAGATATATATATCTTTATCCTAATCTAAGTAAGATATAATTTACTAGAATTTAAAAGCTATTTACTATACTAATCCTATCTATCTAAGTTATTATAATTTCTATTCTACTTATTATATAGTATTAATATCACTAAAAGTTCCTTTAAGGTATTCTTTAAACTTAGTATAAGAAGTGAAAATTTCTTTAGTATTATTATCTTAGTAGTATAATAAGTTTTCTTAGAAGTCTTAGAGAAATAGCTTAAACTAATTAAATATATTACCTAATAAGTAGGTTAATATAAAAACTACCTTATTAGCTTTATATTAGAGTTTCTCTTTATTAATATTAAGGTAGGTATCTATTTATATAAGAAATATCTAGAGGTATAATCTTTTTTTAGTAAATAGTTTAGGTAGTTATACCTTAATTACTTTAGTAATAAAGTAGCTTTTTATTATAGTAATAGTCTCCTAAAGCTACTTAATCATCCCTAAGAGCTCCTTATTACTCTAGGTTTTACTAGGATTAGTACTACTTATTAGGGTATTATCAGTTATAGTATTTTTAAGTTAATTACTTAAGATAGACTAATATTAATATTAGAGATTATTTATATACTTATATAGATAGGTGATTAATATATCATACCTTAGGATCTTATAATAGTACCTAACCTATAACCTATAAGTTAAGCCTAGGTAATACTAACCTATAACCCTAATCTAAGGATATTAATAGTAACTAGGGTGCTCCTAATAAGCTATAGTACTTAAGAATATAGTAAGGTAGTTAAGGAGAGAAGTAAGGCTAAGGAGTATATATACTTCTTAATTAAGCTAGAGATATATAAATAGGTAGGTAGAATAATTAGAGTAGTAATAGAATAGTAACTATAGAATAATAACTTATATTAATTATAAAGAACTATCTAAGTATATAAAATGAGTATCCTTATATATCCTTCTATCATATCTATAGTCCTCCAGATGGTATACCAGTGGTATACCATTCTATATACTAAGATATATACTATCTATGTGGGTATACTAAATAGTATGTTTACTAAGATATAGTACCTGTATACCATATCACATGAGTATAGCAGTGTCTACCAGATAGTGGCTGTAAAGAGCGTGATAATAGCAATTCATAATTCTCTACTATAAGAATATCCTTTCCTCTTGACCGCCTGATTCTGCCTGATGCGGTCACTGATAAAGGTGCCGTAACAGAGTCCTTATTAAGTACTTATTAGACATAGATAGATATGGCTTCTTAATTTAACTAAGTTTTCTATATAGAATAGTGCAGATTTTACTTTATAGGCATATATATAATTTAAATATAGTTCTTAGAGTTAACTAGGCTTATTCCTTTATAAAATGCTGTCCTGAACTATATATAAGATATAATTAGAGAATTACATACTAGTAAGTGAAGTAGGAGGATCTAAAGGTTATTAAATAGTAGTTTAAGACTATATATAAGGCTATTTAGGAGCATAGTATATATAAAGATAATATCTAGAACTTTAATAAAATAGGCTTTATAATAGGGCTCTATATAGCATTAAAAGTTATTACTATAGTAGATTATAGTAAAAGACCTTATATAACTATCTAGGGAAATTATAAATAGGTTATAATTATTAAATATATAAGTTTTAGAGGGATTTCTATACTACTAGTAGTAATCTTAAAGGGGAAAGAATACTAGGCTCTATAGTACTAAGAGCCTAATCTACCTTAAGAGTAGAGACTTACTAATAGTAAGAATGGCTAGATAATAGATGAGATAGGCCTTATATAGTTAAAAATAAGTGTTTAAACCCTTTTCTAGACTATATTTAACTGGCATGAAGTGGTTACTTATTCTTAATAGCTATTTAAATTATTAAACTACTAAATTTAATAATTTCTATAAAGAGAATATAATTATCTATCTTTATATACCTCTACACTTATCTCATCTCCTCTAACCACTTAATATTAGTATTTTTAGGCTACTAAAATATATATATAGAAAACTGGTTAAGGGGACAATAGTAGTGAGAAATAACTATATTAATAAGGAAGATTTTCTTTATCTATATCCTCCTGTATATAAAGCAGTATTTATTTAAAGAAATATATATAGTGGCTCTACTAGAGCTGGTCTTAAGCTATTAGAGATAGATAGTATCCTTAAGAAGATTACTTTTTAACTTTAGATACTAATACCACCCCTTCTTACTAAAGGCTCCATCTTACCTACTTTTTAAATACCTTAAAATACTTACTAGCTTAATTATAAGGTTTATAGCCTATAGAAAAGTATAAAAAAGAGGAAGCTTTCTAGTAGCCTAGTATCTTATATTTAATATCTTAAAAAGGCTATATCTATAGTAATGAATATAAACCTTCTTCTTTAATAGGAAATTAAGGCTCTATAAGCTAAAAATAAGTATAAAATAAAGAAGAAGGTAAGGAAATATACTTCTCTAGGGGATAACCTCTTTATCTCTATATAGGAAGGTTATAAGTGTATCCAGTAGCTTAATAAGTAGGTTAATAAACAGGTTAATGTACCTATACCTGTATCTTATTAATAAGCTCCACTATGCTGCAGTGGCTGCTGGAATGTTGGATATATAATACAAAATTACACTAGTAAATAGCTTCATATTCATATAGTATTTAGTTTAATTTAATGGTGTTGGTGGTTGAAAAACTTCAAAAACTGGGGTAATGTCCAATGAAATTGGTGGTTTGGTTATGTTGGCGGCTCAGCCGTGGATTACGTTATATAGACGGATGATTCAGCAATTACTGAATCTGGCCTGGTGGCCAATCTATATGTCACGTGTAGCGGCTGAGGTAACTGAGGTAATAGGCAGGATTGTGCCAGCTTAGCTAACCGAAACCCCCGGGCTATGGAGGTAACTAAGGTGTAGGTAGTTTGATTATCAGCTGACCCTCATTGGTCATTCGTAAGTTAGCCAATAATGAAGCCCTCAATTAAACTTACCCACAAGCGCCGCCAGACTAGGTAGGTATTACAGAACAGTACCTACCTTAGGTACGCTTATTGCGTATTAAATACATGATACCACCAATGATAAAAAAGACCAGGGCTCAAGTAATACCATTAGTGTACAGCATTACTTGCCGTAGGTACTACCACCTACGCAGGTAGGTATGTATCTTACCTACTGACTGCGAAAAAGCTCCAAAGGCCCTGAAGCCGCAACGCAACGCCTTCTGTGATCCGGACGTACTGTACTCCTTCAGTTATTGACTGTCCCCATCGGCAGGTATAGTCTCTTCTTCACAGCAGGGTCAATATATTTCAGAAGGGGTTTTTTCGGTTCCCCTTCCCTTCTCTTTTCTCTTTCTTTCGCTTTCAGAAATTCAAATCCCATCCCGCCCTCCTGATCATGCTGCCCATATCCAGACGCGCTGCTCATGGCGCCCTTTTCGGTATTCCCCTCCCCATCGTAGTCCTGAATTTTAATTTGCTCATCGAATATAGCACGAGCACGCCTGGGCCCATGCCTTCCTCGACTTCAACCGGTCGCCTCACTTTCAACTTCATCTACAAAATCAGCGACGGCACTTGAGCGCCAAGCAGAATCAAGCCAGTCGCTGACTGCGTCTGGCAAGCTACGAAAGGAGGTGCCTTTGCCGAGTCAGGAGAAGAAAGAGGGTGCGATGCAATATGTTCTGTGTGTGCCTCCACCAGTGTAATTGCCCAGTATTCCAGAACTTTTTTTATTGATATCTCTACAGGACTACACTTGACCAAGTTGCCAACTGGGCTCGTCAGAGCTCTTTGTGGCCCATGACATTCGGCCTCGCTTGTTGTGCAATTGAAATGATGCATTTATCTACCCCTCGATATGACCAGGATCGTCTAGGAATCATTTTCCGAGCCTCACCACGACAATCGGATGTGATGATTGTGGCTGGCACATTGACAAACAAGATGGCACCTGCCCTGAGGCAAGTCTACGATCAAATGCCTGACCCCCGTTGGGTGATCAGCATGGGGAGTTGTGCAAACGGCGGTGGCTACTATCATTACAGCTACTCGGTTGTTCGTGGTTGCGATAGAATAGTGCCAGTCGACGTTTATGTTCCCGGATGTTCGTCCCCCCCCCCCCCCCCTCCATGTATGGATGTTGCTGATTTGACATAAAGGCCCGCCTACCTCTGAGGCTCTGATGTATGGGATTTTCCAACTCCAGAAAAAGATGAGACATACACGGATTACACGCATGTGGTACCGACGTTAACCGTTAACCACTCGACCGAAAATTCCGACCCCCATGTCACTGAAGAAGAGCAAAAGCATGGGAACGTGTTTCATAACCAGTTGTTTTGATAGTTCCTTACTTTTTCCCGCTGGTGCTTATTACTACTGTTTTAAATTAACATACGTTTATTGCTTTAATTTGGCTCGAGTGCATTTCATTTAGCAATACTTGCTGAAATAATCACCTACCCCCGCACCGCGCCTTTCCCGAGAAGGAAAATGGACACCTCGATCTCTAAAATTTCCTCCTCGATATAAAAGTATCATTGTGCCGTCTCTCCCGCCCGGGCTTGCCATGGCCAATTGCTTTACTCAACCATTTATCCGTTGACCGGAACACCACCGTTGGGGTGCAAACATTGTCCGGAAATGTAGCTGCTGTCTTGACTCGCAAGAAAAACAAAACACGTTGCAACCTCGCTGGGCTGTCCTGGGCGGCCCATTGGCACGGAGCTGAATTGTTCCATAGCGGCAGTATCCATGGTCGATGGGATAAGGGGGGTCCAAACTGGAAATGTCAGCGTCGGTTGGCTTTTGCAATCTTCCAAAGAGCGATCAAACATACTTGGGCCAGGACAAACACAATTGACCCGTATGCCTTTGCCAATTTGTTGATTGGAAAGTGCCCGAGTAAATGCTATAATTGCGCCTTTTGTAGACGTATAATCTAGGAGGTCGGGTCGACCAATATAATGGTTGACCGATGAACAGTTTATAATTGTCGATCCTCTTTTCATGTGGGGAAGAGCATATTTGGAAAGATAGAAAAAAGGATGAATGTTAGTGTCAAAGGTACGTTCCCATTGATCCCTGTGAAAATTATCAGACAAGAACGTGTGGTCTCAAGGTTGTGTGGTAATGAGGTTTCTACTCACTCATCCAAACTGCTGATGTCATGAACCATGTTTTGAAATGCAGCATTGTTCACCAATATATCAATTCCGCCCATGGATTTTATGGCAACATCAATCACTTTTCGACAATTCTCCTTTTCGCGGATATCTATTGCTAGGCAGTAACACTTGCATCCAATCTCCTCAACCCTTCTTTTGGTTTCTTGCGCGTCTCTTTCTTCTTCTGGTAAATAAACGATCAGACTGGATGCCCCTTCCATCGCGAACAGTATAGCAATGGCACGTCCGATTCCAGAGTCGCCACCGGTGATGATAGTTCTTTTGCCAGCCAGTTTCCCAGCTGCCTTGTATGTCTGATATCCACCATCCTCAGTTGGGACACGGGTCGAGACGGGCTTTGGATCCTCTAGTTCGGCCTGTAGCCCAGGCTTTTTCTGGTGTTGTATCGGAATCTGATGTCCTAAGGAACATATGAGGAATAGAAATCAGTTGTTTGCGAGTTGTACCAACCTGGCTGGAATTGGGACTCAGCACCTCGGGCAGGTCTTTCGGTGTACTCTTGCATATTAATCTTATTGATTTATCTATAGGGTTCTGGTCAACTTTCTGGACCAAAAAAAAAAAAAAAAAAAAAGTGGGAGTAATAAAGAAAGACAGGCAAATATATTTTGTGAGGCTTGATTAGAAAATGAACAAAGTCCTGTTTTAAGTATTAACACTTATTCTTATTTCTAGCAGTTACAGGTCACGGTGACGAGTCTCGTCACTGTGACGTTCTAATGATTACGTATAACCTAGGGATTTGATGCCACCAAGCAGGTAATAGAGCCCTCCTTCACATCATTAAAAAGTGTATATTTACGTGTTTTTTAAGCAAAGCTTGTGGCTCATTGTCTGTCAGTCTCACAGATCCCTGTGTTCTATCTAGGTGAGATGACGTTTTCTAGTTATTCAGGGTAGTTTCTGTCTCACTATGACGACATGGAACCTAATAAGGTAGGTAGGTAGGTAAGTTGACCTATCTAGTTAGCCAGAGAAACCTTTCTTCTCTGTCCTTTTACTCTTCCATGGGTTGTGATAATGTCATGAAGTACCTAGGTAGGTACTACACAAATAACTAGATATTCAGGTAGATACTGTATTTTGCAGCAGCTCAGCTTTTGTCAATACTTACCTTACATGATCAAATATAGTGAATGCATTGATGTATGCATCATTTTCTTATATATTAATTTGCTAGGTACTTATCATCCAGTAGGTGCGGCAAGTAGCAACAAGTTATGCCTTTTTATAGTTTTTAACTACGAGGAAAGGTTTCTTCTACACTGTATATAGGCAAATTAGAAGTAAGTACATAAGACATACTACCGACTGCTATCATCTAGGTATGTACGGAGCACAAAATACTACAGAGGTAACTACTAGCACTTTTATGTACATTGAATCTAACCTAATAAGGCAACCTTAAGATAAGATAAGCAATACCCGCAATGGCAAAATAATAGGCTGTGAATTTTGATTTTTTTTCCTTTCCTTTCCTTTTCTTTTTCTTTTTTTTTTTTTAAAACCCATCCATCCCAGGTCAAACAAGACCACTTTCTTTCTTTCTTTCTTTCTTTCTTCTTTTTTTTTTTTTTTCCCTCTATTAAATAACACCTGCCTATTACTGCCCATAATGACAGCAAATGATTTTTTAGGCTCTCTTGGATCTGCTGTGGTCAACCCTCAGGATTCTCACAGCGCAGCACAATTTTCTCTTAATTCAGCACTATCTACCCCATGGTCATTTGTTTGCCCGACAACTGAATTACATACCACAGTTGTTGAGACTGCTAAGCGCTTTCTGGATACACTTGCTGTTTCTATAAGTGATTCCCAGTCTCCCCATCAGCAAGGTAACAAAAAGCGCAAGAGGTCGGAAATCGAACAAGAACCTGCGGGTCAAATTTTACAGCTTAAGCAATTATATGTGGAGGGGTTCACACCAGATCAGATTTGGGAGCAGGCAACACGAATTCTTGATTTTGCTGGACAGGAAGTTGAGCATGATTATGCTCGAAGATCTCTGTATTTTAAAGAGATCTCATCTCAAGCATGGCCTTCAGAAGGGTTCGATGATGAAAGTTTTGGGTCCAGTGAATCAGAGCGCGACAATAAAGCACATATCGAAGAAGACCACTCAAGCGCCGACAATAGCGATGACGCAAATATGGAGTCGGTATCAGAGACCGAGGACCCGACCCACAATGAATCGGATGTGCAGAGCAGCATGGAGGAAATCGACGAATATTCGGCTTCGGTAGAATCACACGACGAAAGCAACCGTGATACATATACACAGGATCGATTTGGCTTAAACGATGGCTTCTTTTCAATCGACGACTTCAATAAGCAGTCTGAAATGTTTGAAAGGGAGGATGCCAAAGGTGGACCGAATGAAGATTCCGAAAGCGATGAGGAAGAAATTGATTGGCATGCAAATCCTCTTGCTGCCGGAAATTCGAAGTCTTTTGTAAAAGAGTTGGGATCAAACAACAAAAGCAACGTTGAATATGATGATATGAGTGATAGTGATGAAGGTCCTACATTCGGTAACGCAAACCTCCAGGGACAGTCAGATTCTGAGGATGACGAAATCATCTATGGCGATGGTCAGAATGGTACGAGCTGGATCAACACGAGTGATATCAAGTACTCCGATTTCTTCGCACCACCACCTCGAAAGGTCGCGTCTAACAAGACACGCCCCCTCCCAAAGACCCAACCAGACACAATTACTCTCGAGAACGATGTGAATCGTGCTATGGCTGATGTGCGTCGAGATTTGTTTGAGGATGAGGCTTCAGGTGAAGACGAAGGTCTCTCAAATGATGATGCCAACCATACCCAGGACCAACAATCAACACACGAGAAGCAACGCGCACGTATTGCGGATGAAATCCGTCGTCTAGAAGCAGCCAATGTCGCCAAAAAAGAATGGATGCTTGCTGGTGAAGCCCGAGCAGTCGAGAGACCTGTGAACTCTCTAATCGAGGAAGATTTAGACTTTGAGAGGATTGGAAAGCCTGTCCCTGTTGTCACAACAGAGGTCTCCGAGGATATTGAGGAACTGGTCAAACGACGTATTCTTGCCAGAGAGTTTGATGAAGTCATTCGTCGTCGCCCTGGCGTTTCAGACCGGCAACACACGAGAAAATCCAGGTTCGAACTTGAGGACACTAAACCACAACAAAGCCTTGCGGAGTTATATGAAATCGATCATCTTCGTGCTACTGATCCCAACTATGTTGACCCTAAGAACCAGAAGTTGATGCGGGAGCATGCAGAAATTACCAACTTATGGGGGGAAATAAGCTCTCAGTTGGATACGCTTTCTAACTGGCATTACAAGCCCAAAGCACCACAGGCCAACATAAATGTTGTCACTGATGTGGCAACAATTATGATGGAGGAGGCTCGACCGGCGGTTGGCGGTGCTGTAAATGGATCGGCAGCCCTTGCACCACAGGAGATCTATACACCTGGTGATGGTAAAACCGCTGGAGAGCGGGTGTTGAAGAGTGGGGCATCTATTGCGAAGGAAGAGATGACCCGTGAAGACAAGGCTAAGCTCAGACGTCAACGCAAGAAGAACCAGAGGAAGGCCAATGCCGAAGCCCCCGGAGACCAACCTGGGAAATCTGCAGAAAGACAACAACTGGTGTCCGACTTGAAAAAGGGAGGCGTCAAGCTCATTGGCAAGCAAGGCGAAGTCACGGATATACATGGCAAAGCGAATGGGACCAACGCGAAGAATGGCACCGACACACTGAAGTTGTAACACCTACTCCAATTAAATAATACCTCTTTCGCCTTTCTTGGTTACCTCCATGCCAATTTTCATGCGATATAATTTCAGCCTCGATACCAGAGTATTGGCCTGATTTTGCTTCTCTATGTTTTCTAAAGCACAGGATCCTCAAAGCCAATACCTCAATCCCTCTCACGACTATCCCTTTTGCATGATTTTGAACGTATTGCGTAGAGAAAAAGATTTTCTCGTCTGTAGATATCCACATCAGGGTCATCATGGACCTCCTCAATGTCGAATGCCTTTTTTGCCATTTTTATAAAACGAAGGTCCGCTCGTCTACGTCTTTTGAAACAGAAGTAACAGACAGACTCAGGACCCAAGAGATCTTTGAGGGTGGTGATTAAAAGAGGGAAGGCCGGTTCAAAGTAGACGCAATCTGCGGCAAGTATGATCGCGGGGTGAGCCGGAATACAATCTGGAAGAGGGGCCCCCCAATCCAAAACTGCAGCTGCAACAGTCGATGAGAGGTCATTGAGCTCGATATTTGTCTCCATCAGAGGCAACATCGGTTGCTGGTCTGTAATATAAATAGGAGATGGACCAACGGTACAGCCCCGTGCAACCGCAAGCCCAACGAGACCGCCCCCAGCCCCCAGTTCAACTCTATCCAAGAATCAGTAACATATCCTAGCGCAGTAGGCTTATACCACACCAAGAAATAGAAAGCATCAATGAGGAATAAGGGTATACGGACATTGTTTTTCCAGAAAAATCCGAGTGATGCCGGCGCAGTAGATATTTCGCTAGAACCATCCCGGCTGGCCATAGCTGGCCACCGCATCCATCTTTGAGGTCTTCTTTGAGGACCAAAGGATTGTCCAAAATACCATCGAAAGACACACTGCTGTTATCCACGGGTTTAATATCTCTAAATGGGATCAAAGTCTCGCTGACATTAAAGGGGGCATCTGATTCCGAATCTGATGACATGGAGCTGAGGTAATGTTCATCAATGTAGAAAATAAGCAAAGACCAACACTGGACGACATATGTAGCAAATCTGGCCAGATAAAACCAGAATTGCTTTGGAGAGGGATTCCTTTTATAAACCCAATTTGATAATCTTGATGATAGGGAGGAGGGGTCTGTGTTGTGAGGTGTTCATCAATAGAGTAATTCTTTGTGTTGGAGGGGTAATTATTTTTTCTTTCCCTCAAGGAACCCCATGCACATACTTATGCACAAATATCTTACTAATTATGCATATATGTACTAGGTTCGTATCCCTACTCAGAATAACTGATAACCCAGGTCCTTTGCCTAGGTACCTATCTTACTTACCTTTACCTCCTAATCTGGTGTCTGGAATTTCTTATGAATTTGAGTTGCATGTACTAATAGATTTGGAAAAATGGGAAACAGTACAAGCTCTCCCTAGGTAGAAAATCATCTAACCCTTCTAGGTGTTGCCTATAGGCACAGTGCATGGGATACAAACTCACTTTACACTACCCATAAAAAGCTCTGTATAATAATATTACTATTGAATGGGGGTACGTAGGTCACCTACTGAGTACTCTGTAGTAGTAGTACCTATCTACTACCTACCCGTGCGCCACATGTGGTATGTACATGTTACATATTACGACTAGGTAGCCATTGTTTGACGTCATACCCCACTATTTTTCTCTCCGGATTTCCCTCGCATAGATCTAAGGCCGGGTAATTGGCTCGTCATATAGCCTTCCAACTTCCAAGTTCCATAACTCAGGCTAAAGGTTCCATCATGGATGTACCTATGTGTATGGTACAATCGGTCCATCGCTATATCCGGAGTCTTTTGATCATGACGACGTCACTACATACCCTGCAAAAATGGCCACTTCGTGTAACATTTGAAAACAGAACGGTTGATTGAAAAGGACACTCATTCCCTCTTCCTACTGTCAACCACACGGTGTGAAGATTGCATTTCACCCCGCCTTGGTTTTCTGTATACTTGAATGGACCTTTTCCTCAGGAATATCAGCATCCACGCTTAAAATGACGACTCTTCACTGTGAGTATACTCCCGAGTAGAACCTCCTAGTAGCCTCAGGGCTCACCGGTTAGTCGATGCTAAACGCCCATTATTATGCTCAGATTTACCTCCCGTGAAGCCATCTGCAATTGCAATGGGCACTATCTTCACCCATACGGCTTCTTTGGGTATCCTCGCACCCGTCTTCGGGGATACCTACCATCGTGCACAGGCTGCCAACTCGAAAGAAGAATTCATCAAGTCCAAAGAGGCTGCTGGAGCAGCCGCCGCCTGGGGTAGTTCCTTGGTTGGGAGCGCCGTGCAGACTTATGGAATTGCAGCGTTGGTTAATGCGACAGGAACATTGAGCTACAAAGGTGCCGCTTATTTGGGAAGCCTTGTTTTCATGGCCAGTGCAGCCCCAGGGGTACGCATTTACTCCCGCATGCATTATACAGTTGCCATATTTACTGATACTGACTACAACCCTATATAGTTCATCAGTCAGGTTTTCGCAGAGAAAAGACCCCTTGACACGGTTGCTGTGGGTACGGTCACTAGAGTGTTTGAAACCGTTGGATTGAGTCTATTCCTCACTTGGTGGGGCACACGTACGAATCCCTTTGACTAGGCTGACCGGCCTGTGAGATTTAAGTGCATGCCAGGTCAATGTAAGAGATTTTGCAAGTGGTCATGGTTTGCCATACATACATAAATAAAATTAAAATTAAACGAAGAATGCTTCGCGAAAGTGTCATGTATATCTCCTTCCCAAGTACGAATTCTAAAAAAAAAAAAAAATAGGTATTCAGCCTGTCAAGGTCCCACGTAGGTAGGAGTACCTCTTTGTTTGTTAGCTAGGCAGGTGACTGGGATGATTCTTCTTGTAGCAATGGCTATAAATGCCATATTTCCTGACCCTAGCTTTTAGCTAGTCAGGATTTACACTCATTTCCATTGGCACTGCGTATATCGTAGTCTCCAGCAACTTGCCACAGTATACAAAACTTTGATATTTGAAACATACAAGATACCCAGACAGAACGATAAAGGAATATCTGGCTGAAGTGGACTTCTAATGTTAGCCTTAGTGCAAGATTGTATCCTTGGCACATGGTGATATCGTGACTAAACATTGCTCAAGAGGCAGAAGAGGGTATTCCATAGAAGAGGTCCGTATGTATGTAAGTAGAAAGTAGATTCCTGCAGATTTTCTGTGGTTTCTTATACTAAAGTTAGTATTTGTTTTTGTAGTAATATTAGATTATACATGCCTACTCAATAAATATCTAACTAAGATAGCGATTTCTATGTTTGAAAAGATATGTATATAATTCTAAATAACTTACATAAACCCCCCAAAAAGCTTGGTTATTTCGCTCCACTGTACACTTCCAGCCATTCTCGATATAACTTAAATAAAATCTTAAGATAACAGTATTATATAGCCAGATAGCCCAGCGCTTTTTAGATAGTTAATTGGGTTAATGCTTAAAGGTTTAGACTAGAATTTAAAATGAGTAGTCCTTTCTTTACGAAGTAAAAACCAATCGACCCCCTTGATATATACTATTATACTATCTTTAAACGACGTAGAGTGTAGTTAATTCTACATAGCATTGGATAATAGTAGGCTGTAACTACTGGTAGGCTGCAATACATTGCGTAGGTAATAACTTGGGCACACTTCTCTTTCTTTTCCCATAAGACTTATATTGTACATATATACTTTTTATAATGTACACCTGTGTATTCTAGCAGGATGCACAGAGTATCATAGCTCAACAGCTGAGGAGCGTTTCTGGGCCTTACCGCTGCACCATATGGCAGAATACTAGTATTCTAGAAAGTCATCCTAGAATCAGTCTCTTTATACGGGGTAGATCATCACACAGAGTACATGACATCCGCGTAGATAAATTTATATACGGTGCCAGCACGCGTATATCCACCGAGCTTTAAAACCAGCGGCCTCCCCTGAGGCAATCTTGCCCAATAAGAACAACTTGCGGTAAGACAGATATACTGGTAGGGCAAGCAGAATGAGATTGATTCTAGGCTATTTTATCACAGCTTAAACAAAAGTTCGACAAGGGTACCTTTTTACAAATGTCAGCAAACGCCAAAAGGCCGGGGGCGACGATGGGGCATACACATCAGGATAGCCATGGTCATCACCAAGTTCATACTTCGATGTCGACGAACTGAGGTTGCAAGGCAATGGCGGCAAGCCACTGGTACTCAGGACACCCTGGACACCTTTCTGGTTCTTTTCAAAGAGAGCAGCCAAGCCGCGTTCCTCTCCCTGCTGCTTGACATCGACCAATTGCTTTGCGCCCGCTTCGCCAATCTGCAGAACATCATCCTTTGGCGCTGCCTTGCTACCAACGCTTAGAAGACCCACGGCATCTGCCTGGTTCACGGTACTGAGCTTGGGGTAGCTCCTCCGAACATCCCGCTTCCAGTAAGGATTATCGGCAATGTCACCCGCTGGGATGGTTACGGGATCATCGTAAGATAGCGGAGGCAAAGCCCCAGGCGTAGGAAGACGGTATTGAGCGTTTAATGGAATACCGGTCGAGCGGTTGGGATCAATAGAAAGGAGGCGGCGAAGACGTTCCCATATTCCGGTGGATTGAACAGTGTATTTCTTTTTTTTGTTTGTTAAAATAAAGCCGGGTGCTTAGAAGCTCAAAGTCAATGAAAGGGCCCTATGCCAGTATCCTTACCTGATGAACGGCAACCACGTTCGATGCGGCATTGGCTGCTTTAAGAAAACCGCGAGCCATGATATGTAAGATCTCGACCTGTTCATGTATCAGTATCACAAGCTCCAATAAGTCTGCGCACGGCGAAAATAAAAGCAAATGCTCAATTTATCGTTTTTTCTTACCCCGAGATGCCTAGTTCTTGGATTGAAGTGGAGATTGCCTCTATCGTGTGGTGAATGGTAGCGGGATCATGGCTGCTCGAGGGAAGAGTCGACGGCTGATGTTGTTACGGAACAACTTTTCTTCCGCTGAGATATACCGATTCCAACCACTACAACGAAGACTAACGCTTTGACTGTCTATATTGCTCTCCAGCATAATGATAAATTCAAATGGAAAACAAAGTCAATTCGTACCCATTACTGCCCAAGAAATCGCTATCAAGCCACAAAGATCTGTTTGGCTCATTATGTAGGAGGATTCTGAAAACCTTTTCACTCTAATATTATTAACAATATATCAATGAATGCATGAATACAAACGGTTCCTTTCCTTTTATAAAAAACTCGCCAAGTGCTACGGTTGTAACAGGAAGGTCAGTGGCGAAAATTTACGGAAGTAAATGATTAATTTGGAGAACAAGGGCGCAGCGATTGGTAAACTCCAACGCCATTAAAATCGGCCATTGGTGCCTCAGTGGTTAGGGGCTAGGAAATAACGTTTGTTTTGAATACATAATAATGTTTATGGATATTGACCTGGCTTTGCCAATAGCAAGTGGAAATCGCAGCTTCACTTTCGCCGATATGAATCTGGTGGATATTCTTGATTATCCGTGACTGGTGACTCGACTGGCTTTGGTCTCCGGCTTCAATTCATCTTTTTTGAGATTCGTAGAAATCAATTGCACCACAGCCTGCACTGTCGCGTCTGGGCCACCCGCCTGTAGAAGCAACACTTTACCTGTTTTATCTACCGCAAAAACGCCTCTAGTTGTTCCTTTGGGCTCCTTTTTGAACCCGATGGCTGCAATCAACGCGGCCGAAGTGTCGCACAGGAGAGAATACGGAAGATTCTGCTTGGTTTTGAACGTAGTGTTAGCCTTGGGCGAGTCCGTCGAAAGGCCGTAGACAGATAGACCAGTCGAAGTTATGTGATCGTAACTGTCGCGAAACAAGCAGGCTTGCTTGGTACCTTAGTGATGTGAGCATTTCTTTGCGAATAATAATATGGCAACGAGCATAAATACAAGGCCTGATGGGACAATGGTCAGGTGAAAGGGTGGATTGGAACATATGTACGGAGTACCAGCCATGTAATAGGCGTTGCAATGGTGATATTTGAAAAAGAGACAAAAGCCAAGGTAACTTACAGCCAGGAGTTGAGGCTCTTGGATATGTAAACAGTACAACACCAGAATGACTCGCATCCACGAGATTCTTTAGAGTCGTCTTCGTACCTTCGCTTGTCTCAATCTCACCGCCAAATCCCTCTAGAACAATTGTGTCGCCAACACCAGGAATACCACTAGACAACCCAGAGGACTTGGAAGTGTGTTTTTTAGCAGTGTCTGTGGGTGTTGTAGTAGACGATTGGCCTTTCTTGGCTCTTTTCTCTATCGCAGGAGGTTGCACTGGCGCTTTGCGCTTTCTGAGCTCAACCATTTTCTGTCGTTGAATTGCACTTAATAAGAAATTCAAAGGTCAGATCAAGAAAATAAGGGCTGATGACAGCGATATCCGTGTCGACGTGATGTCAAAAAGTAGGATTTTCCTTGATGTTGTAAAATTGGGGAGGGGAGCAACTGTTGCAGTGTTACCCATTCTATGTAAGTACCTAGTCCGCTGTTCCTTCCAGGGTTCCTGGTTGGATGGTATGAATGGTGAGCAACTCAGGTGGATAAGGTACCGAAGTAGGCTGCTACCTTACCCGCAATACCTAAGGTTATCATCATGAACAGTTCTTGTGGCAGTCTGATGGATAATATATCCCCAGTCAATAGTATTTTTTAAAATCGAACACATTGAGAAATATTTCGCACTACAAGTATCATACTTGGATTATATCCGAAATAGGTACTCCGTATGTTTGACTCGATCGGACTGAGTCAAAACAGAAAGTGATAACCTAACCTATTATTGTCTAGGTCTAGCCGCTGGTACAAATTACCTAAGAAAAGCACTACCCAATCGTATATACTAATGCTGAATAGAATAATCTGCAGATTGGCCTTGGAGTTCCAGGGTTTAGGTATGTACCTACCTACCTACCTTAGGTAGGTCATGTTAAGTGTGTATGTATATACTCACTCCGTACCAATGATAGTACCTGGAGGTACTCCGTACTTGGTACCTAGTATGTACCACGGGTGACGTTTTCTGCCGAAGAATCCCGACCAGCGGCAATCACAACACTTGAACTTTCGTTTTCCCCAGAGACTAAATTTTTTCCTGTTCCACTCGCTCGTGATCGCCATCAACTGTCATCATCATTCCAAGCCTCCTACCTGCGACAGTTTCTTCCAGAGCTTTCATTTGCTCACTTTGTAGTCGAATATTTCTCATTTTCCTCCCTATTCTTCTTTCTTTTTTTGTAGTCTCTGGTTTTTTTCAGACCCCCCACTGCCTCTCCAATCCAAATCATTTCTACTAGTTACTGTTGTGGCCTGAGACTCGCAGCAAAGCAAATATTGCCTCACCTGTCTAACAAAGGCGTCTTTCCAAGGCCCTTTGCCTTGTCATTTATCGCCATGAAAGTGTTTTCTTCGATTTGCACTTTCGATTACTCCTGGGACGAGGTTTCTACTGCGAACTGGCGAAAATACTGCCCATGGAACGACAAGTCAACCCACGTCGTGGCAGTCGATACTCTATCTCGAAAGATTGATTCGCAGACTGGCATTGTATGTTATCCCGCTTTTTTTATTCGGTCATTGTTAAAGGTGCTTCTTAAGCAATAGACTGGCTGACCATTCCATGAAATACAGCTGCGAACCGAGCGTCTCATTACCTGCAACCAATCAGTGCCACAATGGGTTCTCTCACTATTTGGAGGTGGCGCTACATCTCATGTCTATGAGATTTCTTACGTTGACCCCATATCAAAGAAAGTGACAATGTGTTCTACCAATCTCACGTGGTCCAATGTGCTCAAAGTTCAAGAAACTGTCACGTATCAGCCGTCGTCTTCGAAATCAATCTCCACGACGGAATTCACCCAAGAAGCCAAAATCACAGCACTTTGCGGCGGATGGCAGAAAATTAAGAATAAAGTCGAGGAAGCAAGTGTGGAGAGATTCAGCCAGAATGCCAAGATGGGCCGGGAAGGGTTCGAGACCGTCCTCGAGATGAGCCGGCGAGTATTTGGTGAACAGCGCGAACATGAGAACAAGCAATTACAACCATGAGCTGTTTGCTCCGTCCGTTGTTGCTGACTTGAGATGATTACTTGCCCCGCATCTTCCCGTTGAGCGCTTGCATGATTCGGCGTCTGTTTGGTCTACTTTCTTTTATGTATAAAAAAGCACGGGGTGTCAGGTGGCGTTTTCTGTTCTTTCTGTGCTTCTTTTTCTTTAAACCTCTCTGTCTGTTTCCCACAGGCTATCTGCTAATGTTTATATGATTATCACGCTTCTTTTATTGTGAGGCATGTTTGAGTGTTACAATAGATACACCCGACTTGATCTGTGTTATTTAATAATTTTCCACGTTACGCCACCACCTCCCCTTCTATGAAATATAGAATTGTACTGGAGTATAAATATGATTGAACCCAGGATCCCTACTGCGCATAGACAAATTAATCGTACATAAGATATATCAACCAAGATATAGGTTTCCTGTCTGCATTGCCCTTGAATGTTTCTAAACTCCTTACCAGCTAAATCAACCCAATGGATTACGTTTTGCTTTTATACAGGCCAGATCCTATGATCATGTCGAATACTAGCCTAGAAGGCCACCTAAAACCACACGACTGACACCAGAAACCTCGTTCTTGGCGCTATTCCGGCTTACGTCCTCAAATTCTCGCACAACCCCTGCAACCATGATCTTCCGCAGCTTTGCATCTGCCTTTGAAAACAATTCGCCCAGAGAGACTGTGCACACAGAAGGGGTCGATACCAAAGCAACGAGACGAGTGTAGCAATCAATCAGCACGTCACACAATGTTGCAAATGTCTCAAAGAAATCTGGCTCGAATGGCAAAGAAGGTGTCAGCAGGTAGGAATATTCCTCGCCAGGCAGAAGCTCCGAGGACTCTGTGTGGGGAAAAGAAATGACGGAAGCCGCAGCGGTGGCGGACGACGTGATATTTCCCGCCATGGCTTTCAGGTCTGATGGGTCGCTGGATTGCATGGGCAGACCGATTTCAGTTGCGGAACTGGCTCTTCTGGTCTTGGTTCCCGCGTGTGCTGCTCTTTTAAACATCTGCGGGATGCGTGCTCGGGCTAATGAAGACGAGGAGCTTCCGTCGGGTGGATGGACTTGTTGGAATGCTTCAAACTCAAGCAAAAGTGCATTGAGGGCACGCAGGTATTCAGATGGCGTTGAATTCACGTCTAGGATTGGTGGCAGAGACAGACCGAGGAGAAGATAGTTGATCGCGCGACGAGAAAGCTTTCGCTGCTCGAAATACGGCATACGTCCTATATCAGCACGAGAGAAATGCACCGTATTAAACCAATAAACGCGACCTTCATGACTACAAAAAGATTAGTTTATTATCCCGAGACCTAAGGGGCTTTGATGAACTGACGCCTTTCTCAGGTAATCCAAAGTCGATATTCGTTTTGAGGCCATGTCGTGGATGTGATGGTAGATAGCGCCAGCGCTTTGAGGCCCGAAAGAGCCGCCCCCGCCTGCCAAAGGGGGAGGGATGCTTCCGAGAGTACCTGTACTTTCATGTCCCACGCTTGATTTACCCGTGTCTCTACGAGACAGGCTTGGAGCAAATGTAGATGAAATCATTATCGGGGCAGGCGCAGGAACACTAGCGAGGCAACCAGGGAGTCACTCTCCGTCTCAATAAGACTCTGATTCCGAACCAGTTCGCGACGGAAAGGATAGATCAGTAATATCAGATGACGACTGTCCGTTGATATGGATTGCTTGGTCGATAAGATCTGGAGAAAGCTCTCCCCAGCAAGAAGGTCTTCTCCTTAATGCGATATGAGGTGTCAGGTGGTCTATATGGCATCAACTAACTAACGAGTAGTATAAAGTTTTATGTCATTTAGGAACAGAACTTCAGAGTAGGGAGATACTAACTAAGTATCGAAGGGCCTTTTTGCTTTGAACCTTGGTTTCCCGATGAAAACTGATGTGGATTACTACTACAATGTACTAGTGAATCTCACCCATGATTTATTAGTGGGACTTGCGCTGCTTGATGGCGACTACGTTTCCCGCACCCGTAAATTCTCCCCCTTTCTTAGACTCCTCCAGACTCCGCTGCCGCAACAGAACTACTCTATGCCCTAATTTGCCCCTCTTCCCAAGACATATTCTCGTACACCCAGTACACACCCAAAGCGACTAAACCACACACATTTCCGCCGAACGCATTTGGATTAAACATACCTCACAATTTTAATCTTACACTCAAAATGAGTACATCTTCGTCTGAGGAGCCTGTGCCGTCGCCCGGGCAGTGGCCCGTGGACCCCCAAGATGATGTGCCCATATCTGGCGATCGCATTTGGGTCGATGGCTGTTTTGACTTTAGTCACCACGGTGAGGAGTCAACCCGGTCTTTTAAAATATGAAAATAATTTCCCTAATTAGAAATTTTTCTTTGTAGGACATGCCGGGGCAATGCTTCAAGCCCGTAGATTAGGGACCGAACTCTTCGTCGGTGTGCATTCCGACCAAGCCATTCTTGAGAACAAGGGCCCGACAGTGATGACATTGGAGGAGCGGTCAGTCAACATATACAGAACCCTGCTTGCGTACTTGTCACTGACATGATTGCTCCCCCTATCTAGAGTAGCCGCAGTAGAGGCTTGTCGGTGGGCATCTCGCTGTATCCCCTGTGCACCGTATGTTACATCGTTACCGTGGGTGTCCCATTATGGTTGCCAATATGTTGTCCATGGGGACGACATCACTTCTGATAGTAACGGTGATGACTGCTACCGGTTTGTCAAAGCAGCTGGGCGCTTTCGAGTGGTCAAAAGAACCCCAGGAATATCTACCACTGATCTTGTTGGTCGCATGCTTCTTTGCACCAAGGGCCATTTCATCAAATCAGTGAAAGGTACACTTTCTGGGGAAGAGGGCTCAGGCAGCCCGGGGGAGCAAAAAAGATCCGCCAACGAACTTATGCAGAGAATCAAAGACTATGCCACCGATGAGAGTGGCTTGCAGCCTGGTCCCCAGGTTTGGACTTGGTCTGGTTCAAGCTCAGCTAAAATTGATGGTGTGGCTGAGGAAGCTGGGCTGTTTGAAACCCTCGTTGATGGGAAGCTTCCAAGACCAGGACAGCGCGTTGTTTATGTCGATGGCGGCTTTGATCTCTTCTCGTCCGGTCACATCGAGTTTCTTCGACAGGTCCTGGCACTGGAGGAATTAGAAGGCCACCAACGTGGCTGGTATGAGCCCACGCAAAGAGCAGCAAGAATTCATGATTATGGAGAAGACTATGCACCTGCCTACATCGTCGCTGGCATCCATGATGACGACGTGATCAATCATTGGAAAGGTCTTAACTACCCAATTATGAACGTTTTTGAGCGTGGGCTGTGCGTTCTACAGTGCCGTGTAAGCAATTTTCTACCCCAAAATCCAGGGCACAATCCACTGACCTTCAGCAGTATATCCATGCTGTCGTTTTCTCAGCACCATTTTCCCCGACCCAGTCCTACCTAGAAGCTCTGCCGTCAGGTGTTCCCAAAGCCGTCTACCATGGGCCCACAACGTTCATACCCCTCACATATGATCCCTACACTGGGCCGAAGAAAATGGGTATATTCAAAGAGATCAGTAACCATGCTTTCCAGCATGTGAATGCTGGTGAAATTGTTGACAGGATCTTGAAGAGTCGAGAGGCGTATGAAGAAAGACAACGAGCCAAGCTTCAAAAAGGGGTTGTCGAGGAGCTGACAAGGTCCAAGGAGGCAGCCAATTAGCTGCAGCGTGGAGTATGCGTTTGATGGCAAAACAAATATAAATACTCTTGACTGATGCTTGTAAAGAGAGTTGAACATACATCAGTGACAGTGCTCGCACTGATCCTTCATTCCATACTCCATACTGGGTTACTATTAATTTGTCTATGCAGGAAGAATGGCAATTCCATGTTAAAGCGGGTATTTTTAAGAAGCGCTGACATTATTCCATATCATGAGCAATATGCAAGCAACCAGACATCTATACATTTCGTACTAGTCATTTTCGAATGATATAACCGAGCTTCGATAAAATTGCCAACAGAAAAACATACCAGCCAGACAGTATAAAATTTCCTATAAATAATACATGAGAGTACAGAGTAGGGGCAAGAGAAGTTGGCAAAACTTTAGACTTGATTAGTCGGCTGCCACCAAGACTCCCTTCTCCTCAAGCATTTTCGCGAGCTCTCCATTTTGATGCATAGACATTAAGATATCACACCCACCAACAAATTCGTTTTCCAGGTACAGCTGAGGGATCGTCGGCCAGTCCGAATACTCCTTGATACCTAGGCGAATTGAAGGAAATATTAGTCTTATCGTATTAAGACAAGGAGTAATCAAGGAGTCGTCTACTGAAATACCTTGGCGCAATTCCAGGTCCTCAAGCACGTTGAATGCAACAAACTTCTTAGGATCTACTCCTTGCAAGCCCAGAATTTGGATACTGGCTCGGGAGAAGCCGCACTGCGGTGTTTCGGGTGTGCCCTTCATGAACAGGACAACGGGAGCAGATCCGACCGCTTTGTCGATTGCCGCCTTTGTATCGGAAGACAGTAGTCGGGCATGAAGGATGGATGGCACTCGAAAAGCTGATGATCGTGGCTGCAGAGCGTAATTTGACCTTGAGAGTGGTCGGAATGCCTGGAAGATCTCGATAAGCTCAGGTTATACGAAGCCAACGCTGTCAAAAACCTACCGAAGAAAATGCTGTCCTCAGAAACATGATGGGTCTATGGAGTTTAAGTATATTTGATTCCAATATGTTCCGAAAGTGTGAGATGAATTGGATTAAATAAGTATACACGTAGGTACGCCAGTAGAGATCGCGGATTAACAATAATCTTCCGGGCGGAAGGACCTAGTTACCTATACGTCAATGGGTTCCACCTCTTCCCTCGCATAACGATGTAGTATGTAATCCGTCCAAGTACCTTGGTATCGAGGCTGACCATGTGACAATTTCATAATTGCCTAGAAATGACTTAAAAAATAAAAAAATCCGGAGAAGAATTTAAAAAGCAAAAAGCTACCATATGGCCTTCTTTCTATAACTAGAAGCATATTTTCCTATTGCTGAATTACTGTACACGACTGAGGTTCGCTGCTATAAAAACAATATAGAAATGGATAGATACCTCTAAAAACAATAATAAAAATCTCGCTCTGTTAGAACACTTGAGAATGGTATCCTGAGGCAGTAGGTAATAGGTAGGTAGTTGAACATGAACTGGCCAATAAGATACTTTTCAACACATCAAGAAGCTTTTTTCATAATCTCAACTCAGATCTCGATCCCTTGTCCCCGTATAGATCGAAAAATTGCGCCAGATAGTCACACAACATTCCCAAGGTGATGCCTCCTCCAGTGAAGAGACACCCGTTCTTGAACCACCACCAGCAGTTCTGGACATTTTTGAGCTGAACCTTCCAAATCATGGTCCCAAGAGTCACAATTGCACTTCCGCAGCTGCCGATGAAAAAAATGGGACCGGCACCTGCCGCTACACCCGCTCCAGCGAGCAGTGTCACTTGGGCCGCTGCCAGACCAGAAAGAACCGCCTTGGTGTTGTGTTCATGACGTAGAGCAATTGACTTGATTCCTGCAGCTATATCATCTTTTATGTCCATGTGTGCGTATATCATATCGTACAATACTGTCCATGCAACACAGCTTGAATAAAGCGCCACAGCAGTACTCAAAGCCGCGGAATTGGTGAGCAGATCCAAGTCCAATGCTGGAAATCCCATTATTGCACCCCATGAAAATGTAAGCCCTAAAACAGCTTGGGGGTAGTAGGTGACACGCTTGGCAAGGGGGTATGTTGCCACTAAAATTAGACTAGGAATTCCATACCACAAGCACTGGGTGGGAAATTGAATGAGGACACCGAGACCGGCTAGCAGCTGGACACTAGTGAAACACAGAGCTTTTTCAGCAGATATTGCGCCTCTGGCAATAGGTCGAAACATTGTACGTTCGACATGAGGGTCCAAATTCCTGTCCCATAGATCATTGATCGCACACCCAGCCCCTCGCATAATCAACGCACCGGCGAAGAAGAGCCCCGCCGTCCCAAGGACTTGTACAGGTGTAACGTGAGATTCCATAGGTGCAGCGAGAAGGGTTGAGAATAAGCACGGGAAAAAAAGATAGTATGTACCCGTGGGCTTATCGAGGCGTAATAGCTCGGCATACGGTATCCATGATTGAGGAAGAGATGCAATCAGACCAGTCTTAGGAGGAGTGTAATAGGTTGCTGGGTTTTTTTCCGTTGTGTGGCCTGGCTCGGCTACCAGAGGCGATGAAGATGACAAGTCTGAGCTGCGTCGGACGAATGTTGTTTCATTGGCTGACCGAGGCTTCAGAACACTGGAAGACTTGTATCCTTGACGACCATGCGACACGCAAGAAGACGGAAAGACATGATGTAGTGATATTGGAGAAAGTGATTTGTGCAGAGCAGCTGCTCCCCCCCTAAAGCATCCGTGCAGTTGCACGCGCCTAGATAAGTAGAAGCAGGAGGTTGAAAAGCTCATTCTGCCACCAGATAGATAAATCAGACAAGAATGAAGAGATATAGGGTTAATCCAGTAGCTTTCACTAACGGGGGGCAGTTTTCATATTTGATTTGAAACAGAATCTGTAATAACCATGTAGACAGGATTTGTGCAGTAGCGAAAGCTGAAAGAACACAACCAGAGTGAAATGCTTACCAGGGCAATTAATAGAAAGAAAATCAGTTAAACTGACTTAGTAGGGAGCTTAATAAAGTGTACCAGTTCCCCAATCGCACAAATGCTTTCTATTGGCTCCCCAAACCTTGAAAACCACTGTCTTCAGAGTCGTGCCGAAGGAGAAGGAGAATGAGGTCGTTATGTCTTCGGAGTTCAGATGTCTGGGCATTGGGGAATGAGCAAAGAGGAACACGGACCCACATAAATATCTTGACAGAAAAGGCGCCTGCACGACTAGTGGATTATGGATCACCAAAGTAGCTAGTTGGCTGAATTAATCTGTAGTCTGATCATTGGAACAGACACAAAAATGACCCTTTTCTAGAGTTGTCTACCACCTTATCCCAAGCTGTATTCATTTAATTTTTTTGTCCCCCACCTAAATCAATTTTCTATGTTCTCATATATAACATTATACATGAGAAGTAGAGTGTTGTCATGAGCCTAGAAAAGATAAAACAAACCCCCTTTTACTAGTGGTTGTTGGGAGATCCTTACATAGCACCTATCAAGAGAATTTAAAACTTAGCATATTCACTGATTAAGGTTCTATTGCAGGAATGTGAATAGCTTGAGTGATCACGGCCTCGAAAATGCTTTACTATGTTCTAGTAACACTGGAGCCACAACAAATTCCTAGTGATCTATATTTCAACAACTATCCATTTCCGTGATTCTAAACACCATAAATGCCATAAACATGCCAGCCCAGCGACCCCGCGCGGCCTTCGAGCCGATCTCCCCTGACTTGAATCTTGCACAACTTGTGGAATCTACGGCGAACTTCGAGTTTGCGGTCAGGATACCCTGCGATTCAATTGACAATAATGGATTGGAGAGCTTTAATAAGCTTGTTTTGCTTCATGTAATTTTGGGTGGAAGGCCTCTGGTTATTGAAGGGTTCAACAAGAGACTGGACAGCTCCTTATTTTCTGAGAAATGGCTGAGGGAACACTATTCAGCTAAAAGTAAGAATCAGTATTCTGCATCTGCACATATTATGCTTTCTCTAACAACATATCCCCTTGGAAATAGTGGAAACCGCACGAGACCTTACGAACAAATCAAATATTCCCCTTTCAATTGGTCATTATCTGAACAACATGCCCCTTCTTACCAATCAATGGACTCCGTACAACTACCAAGAGCCTAATCGCCAGAGAATATACCTAAAAGATATTGATTGCCCCCCGGAATGGCACGATCACTTGAAAAAAAATATTCCTCCTTCACTCTTCTATCTCAACGAATGTCTTGGGGTGACTTCTGCTTCTTCCAACAAAAATGGCACAGCCTTACCGGTTACCGGAACACAAATAATCACAGCAGGGGATCTCATGAGCTGCCTACCGCCCCATATGCGTGCAGAGAATCTAATGTGCTACATTGGACATGAAGGAACTTACACGCCATGCCACCAAGAGATGTGCGCCAGTCTCGGTCAAAATCTAATGGTGGAGGCATCAGATGGGTCCATTGAAAATGGCAAGCAAACCAAGCAAGGCTCATCAATTTGGTTCATGACTGAAAGTAAAGACCGGCACGTTGTTTCTGAATACTGGATGTCTACATTGGGCCATGATATAGACATCGAGGATCATTTTGCTCAAATCAATGCATTGAAGGGCGCGCCATTTAAAGTATATATTGTGGAACAAAAGCCAGGTGATTTTATCCTCATACCTCCCCTGGCGGCACAGCAGGTTTGGAACAGAGGAACCAGGACCACTAAAGTGGCATGGAATCGTACTACTGTGGAAACACTGGATATGGCTTTAAATGAAGCTCTTCCCCATGCCAGGATGGTTTGTCGCGATGAACAATACAAAAACAAGGCCATTGTGTTCTTCGCACTTGAACGATACTCGGCCCTTTTCTCCCACGTTAATGAAACCAACAAAGACTACTCCAATTCCCAACAGCTGCGAAATGACTTTCAACATCTGTTTTCCCTATACACCTATATTCTGCTATCGGAGTGTTTTTCTCGGACTTTACCGGAAGAAAATAATGTTGAATATTTTAGCTTTGACGGCAACGTGACGTGCTCGTATTGCAGATGCAATATATTCAATAGGTTTTTGACTTGTCCTTCGTGTGTGGGGACGTTGACTTCAGATGGTGAAGATACCTATGATATTTGTATGGAATGCTACGCGATGGGAAGAAGCTGTGCTTGCATTTCCCGACTGAAGTGGGTTGAGCAATTCCACTGGGGTGAGCTGACAAAGAACCATGAAATGTGGAGGCAGAAGATACTTGAGCTCGACAATGACCTTAAGGATCACTTTCAACCTCTGCCGGTGGAACGTGCTCGACTTGGAAAAAAGACACTTGCTGAAATCTGTCAGGAACAGTTGATAATGCGACCATGGGTTGATATCACCAAGCCAGTCACCACAAAAGTCGAGGGAAAGACCAGCGACTCTGAAAACACCACTCCGCCTCGAAAGCGAAGAAAAGTTCGAGCTTCGGCACAGTCTAAGGAAGATAATCGGTGCCACATCTGCAAGTATACTGAGCCGCCGTGGAAGCTTGCGTCATGCTCTTACTGCAAGCTGAATTACTGTTATGGCAGTCTATTCAGGGCGTTCAATATACTGCCACAGGATACCATGGAAATGTATCATTGGATGTGCCCCAAATGCCTGAAAATTTGCAGCTGTGGTGCCTGTCGCAAAAACCCCAATATAACACCGTTCGAGCCTACGTGTACACTGCTTGGCCATGATACAAGGAAGATAGCAGACCCACGAAGTGTAGACAGCCTGGTGGATTTCCGGCACTCTAATTTGCGATGGCTAAAGAATGTTGGCGATGACGAAGCGGGTCCATTGAAGAAACGTCTAGAAGCTGAAGAGAGGCGCAATCAGTCCTTAGTTGAAAATTGTATTCAACTCGAAGAATCACCACAAGTGAAAAGCCAACAACCTACAGACTATGGAGAGATACCGGTTGATCCAGCATTGGAACATTTGGATAATTCCTTTTTTATGCCAGACTCGATCAGCCTTTGAAAAAGCTGATCTTCATTAATCAAGCGAATCTAAATACCGTATCACCAAGGGTGCATTGGCTGCGTGGGCTTAAAAGTAAATAGGATGTGCCAACTTTGGGAACATCTGGCGAGAGTGCAATTGATATAGGCAGCGTGGACTATTATTTCGCGAAACACGTTGTGAAGATGCCTCTTCCATGTATTATTGATTGAATATGTAGTTGATAGCAACCGGGATACCAATAATTCGACTCGTTTGTATTCGACAAGCAAAATATGCTACTATGATACACAAATCACCAGTGGTTGATGGTTTGCCATGTTTAGCTACCTAGGCTCCTTTGAACTCATATCGAAGGTCTTCTAGAGGGCCTATATCGACAGATAGCATCACTCTCCTTGCAATGAAGATGATCACAAGCATTGCTGTATAAGGGGGCATTCTTGTTATTACCCTCCTCGGAATATCTTGAACGGGTTTAGGGAGTAACTAGAGCAAGGAAGGACCTACCTCCCGGCACCAAGTATACAGTTGGTCTGACACTTGATGATGCTACTGGACTGGTGGAGAAATACACCAGCACCAGAAACACACAGATGACGGAATTTATGGGGAGAAGAGCGTTTCGAATACGGGAAACATGGCTCGTCTTGTAGATGGGTCTTTGGTCTTTACGATTTGGACGTTGGAGCGGCACGTGCGTCATGGTGTAGGTTGTGACAGCCAACGAAATGATGCTGAGAAAGGCCAAGGACTGTTCAGATAGGGTCGACGAACCAGTCAGCACAGGTTGGAGAAACACCATCATTGATAATAGCGGAATCGCCGCAAAAGCCATCTATTCCATGTAGTTTTAGTAATTAGCAAGGGTCTTTTTCATTTCATTTTTTCGTTGTAAACTTTCGCCAACACAATATGCTCGAAAGGAAAGAGACTGTTACACTGTATTCTGCATTCCGCTTGTCATTCTGCACTTGCAACTGGTTTATTACACGTTCCTGCTCTGGAATTGTCAGTTAAAGATAGAACTTGGCCAAAAGTAGGCAAACAGACCTTCTTCGTCGAGATCCTCGCGGTCGTGCTCATCGGTCGAATCATCGGGGTAGCGGAAAGCTTTCCGAAACCTTGTAGCCATGTTTTGGCTTATACAATGTGTGTATATAGAGAAGAGAGGGAGGAATATGAAGAAGGAAAGCAGAGTATCCAAATACCAACTAAAAATATTGTATGTTTGAATACCTAACGATTTGTGTATCTGAGTACTCCGTATGTACTCCGTATCATGAATTCGTGATGGAGCCTCGGACAGTTAACTCCGACATGGTTTGTCCTGTTTGGCGGGTTTTACTCTTGTCCTCACTCTCTAGCTTTCATATCCACATACCCAACAATAGCTCGGAACTCACCACCTCCCCGGCCTTTTCGATCCATACAATACCCCGAGACTCGCATCAACACAGATGACCTTGCAAGCTGCGCAGAGGCGCATTGGCGTCCCACGCCTGCCACTCTTCCGTGGCCGAGTTCTACCTCATCGTCGTAACCTGATCCCTGCCCCGAGCGCCAACTCGGGCCCTCTGCTGGAACGACGGGCGGACAGAGAGCTTCCCTCCATCAAAACTGAACGCCGTTGGCTGCGCACGCTACCCCTTTTCGCGGTAGCTGTGGGCGCCGCAATGTTCGGTATCTTCAACTACCAAAAGTCGTCCTCGAGTGTGGTCAGCAGTACGTTGTACGCTCTACGGAACTCTCCCCGTGCGCGCGAGATATTGGGAGACGAGATCTACTTTGCGCAGCAGATGCCTTGGATCAGTGGGGAGATGAATCAGTTGCATGGGCGCATTGATATATCTTTTTGGGTCAAGGGGACAAAGTCCCAGGGCAAAATGAGGTTTCGAAGCATCAGACCGGACCGTATGAGTTATGTTAGTCTTCCCCAGCCCTCTTACATATCATTACATAACACAGTTATTATACTTGCACAACCCGGATGGTTCGAAATAGAACGCTGACATCCGTCTCGCCTGATTAGTTCCGCACTGAAGTGTGGAGTTTAGAGACAGAGGATGGAAAGCTGGTCCAGCTTCTTGAGGGGGGTAGTGATCCGTTTCGCCAGACAGATTGAACGAGTATTTGGAGTGCAAACATCCAGGCCCATCAAGAGTGCCTTGTGATATCTACAGATTTGTACAGCTCTAAACATACTTTCTTATTATTATCATTTCGCATTGGATTGGCGTTTTGGTTGGGGGGTGGTCTGGCTGGTATTTCTTCACTAATAAGAAAAAAAGAAATAGTAACAGAAGGGGGTGCATGGGAGATGTATAGGGGATTGGATGGGAACGAAACAGAATATCATTTATGTATCATATACAGACGCCGCTCTAAGTAAAAAGTATTGTAATAGTAGTACATTCATCGAAACACTCTAGCCTTATCAATTATGCAGCCAATTCAAGTTGACGTTGGCATTTCAGGCCAGGGCTTCTTGATCGCATCTTGTATTCTAACCATGCATCCCTTGGGTCCACTGACAGCACCTAGATCCACAAAGTTAGCATCAGATTGAGCAAAGCGGGTAGGGCGTGAAATATACCGTTGACAACAACAATTCCATTCTCCGCATCAACCTTAAGGATCTTCAAGTTCTGCACCGTATTTTGCTCGTTGCCCATGTTTCCAGCCATTTTTTTCCCGGGATACACACGAGAACCACCGCCCTGACCGGGGCCCGAAGAACCGAGAGAACGATGTGTTAAACTGACACCGTGACTGCGATCCTGACCACCAAATCCGTGCCTTTTCATCACACCCGCAAATCCCTTACCCTTCGAGTTGGATCGTGCATCGATGTACTGGCCTTCCTGAAACCAGTCCGCATTGACCATTTGACCGACAGGCAAGAGGCCGCTCTCGTCCTTGACCCGAAACTCGTAGACGTGTCGCTTCGGAGAGAGCCCGTGGACGGAGAAATGACCCAGGAGGGATTTAGTTATGTTGCTAGGGTGTTTCCAGCCGGAGCCCAGTTGGACGGCGAAGTAGCCATGCTTTTGGCGCGTCTTGTGCGAGACGACTTCCACTCGGTCGAGCTGCAAGACGGTGCAGGCGATACGCTTGCCGGAGGTTGCATCGTATATACCGGTCATTCCTTTCTTAATCGCAATGGCACCACTCCGGAGAGGAATTGTATTGGCCTTGCGTTCGAGGGCCGCAGTGGGGGTAGACTTGAGGACGGGCAGCTCGGGACCAACATTGAATCGGCTGGTTTTGGGAGGGTTCAACGATTTGATACCGAATGTCCGCACAGGAACATTGGTGGTGATCAATTGAGGTCCCCAAATCGATGAGGGAAGCCACCCCAGATTCCTTGATAGGTGTGGTGGCATGGTGGACGGAGGCTTGAAGTTATCGAGCAGGTGATTGTTTTTTTCCTGAAGAGGGTTGCGGAGAGAGATCTGAGAAAGTCTGGCTGGCGGAGAGTTTTTTTTAGTCAGCAGCTTCATGACTAGTTAACTAGTTAGGTTAGGTTAGTTAACTAATCTCTTTAAAACAACTGGTTTTAAAAAGGCTAAAATTGGTTATAATTAAAGAAAATTAAATTTATATGAATCTACGTACATCTAAATGAGAAGATCTTTTTTTTTTTTTTTTTTTCAAAATGCAGACTGGAGTTGCTATGGTTTATTATCATGGTATCTACCAATCACACCAACGGGACCGGCACGCCGACCACCGAGCACCATATATCTAGTTTCAATTATTTTGCTAACCGGACGTCATAAAAATATTTCTCTTGCTGCCACCTCGATATCAACACTTTCTCCCAGCTTGTATTATAATCTTATTCCCCCCACCTTTTTTTTTTTCTTTGCTTCCCGACCCCCATGAATTGATCATATTGCACATTTATCTCTCCTCCGTCTGACTTAATCTCTGGCTCTACCCTACCCTTGACAAAAAGAAAGAAAGAAAAAAAAGTTCCGTGTCCTCAAGCGGACAACATCCCAGCAACGGATTTTAACGCTCAATTCATCAACCATGCCTTTGCGGAATCCTCTCTTTTCACGATGGTTCTCCCAATCAGCAGAACTAATCCACCGTCTACCAATCTCTAGAGTCACCACTACCACACCTCGTCCCTCAACAATAGGAACCATGACAAACTCGCTGCGTCGTCCATTCTCAACCACCCGATCTACAGGCCAATCCAAGACCGGCAGACCCTTTGCTTTCGCCTTCCCCTGGAGACAATACCGGCCCTTCCGACGTTTCGCGACCTCGTCCAAACCGGACGGTCCGGAACCGTCGTCTCTCTCTCAGCGATTGAAGAAGCTCTCTCGCGAGTATGGCTGGTCTGCGCTAGGTGTATACCTACTGCTATCGGCATTGGACTTTCCGTTTTGCTTTGCTGCCGTACGACTTTTGGGTGTGGAGAGAATCGGTCACTACGAGCACATGCTCGTAGAGTCGGCCAAGGAGGCCGTTGAGGCCGTCTGGTCTCGCAAGCAGGATGAACAGTCCGAGTCTCAAAATACAGACGTGAAGGATAGGGATGTCACGGCGCAGGAGAACAAGAAGGCCAATAGCGAAGAAGCGAGTACGTTTGCCCATGGATCTTGATGAAATGATTATGGAAGCTAATTTTCTCCCTCAGGCCTGTGGACTCAAGTTGTTCTCGCCTATGCTATTCACAAGAGTCTCATATTCATTCGAGTTCCCATAACAGCAGCTATCACTCCGAAGGTTGTGAAAATCTTAAGACAGTGGGGCTGGGATCTTGTACGGGGGAAGCCGAAAGGCTTGTGATATTATCTGCACTCGATAAAGAGAGCATGGTGCCATTCCCCTAGGGGAGACAGTTGTTATCTCCTCTTTCTTTTTTCTTTTAATGTGCATGGTGGAGCGATGTAGAAAACTAAAGAACTATATTCACGATTTAATTGTACATTAGCTGTTTTAGATCTAATCCCCAGGGCCATACAGCCATTGTGTCCCTCTCCACTCAATATCAGCTGGGTATTGTCAAAATAAGAATCCTCAAATGTGAATGTAAAAAAGAAAAAACAAATCCGATCTAGCATATCAACCAACCAATGAAACCAAATTTCCAAACCTATATTCTGAGACAATGAGACGAACACAAGACCCGAGTAAGTTTAACAAGAAGACTCAATGCAACATGGAAGGAAACCTAGACTCAAGAGAAGAAAAAAAGCAAAAAAAAAGTTTCCTTGGGCGAACATCATGACTACGGAAACACACATTTTCATCTTGAAAGGGAAGGTCAAAAGAAAAGTCATGATATGGGAGATAGATGCGGTGAGGGGATAAAAAAGGGTGAAAGAAAACGAAAATGAGAAATTATCACATGTCAATCGTATCGTTGAATCTTAGAATGCCATTGGCTTTCATCACACCGTTAACACCATCAGGCATCCGATATGCCCATTCAGCAGCAACGCCCATCGAATTTGCGGCCGACAGAGCACCATGGCGATCCTGATCTCCAGTTTCGTCGGAAGTGTCAGCCACAAGAACAAGACCTTGTTCCTTAATTGTCTCCACAAGCGCCGGCACAACGTTCTGTAGTACATAGGGTTAGTGGTTTGCCTGAGACAACTCATGTCCAAGGATAGAGTTCTCACCAAAAGACTCGACCGGCATATCAACCCCATGAAGTTGTTGCTCTGAGCAATTCGCGCGGACTCCTTGATAGACATCGATGCTCGACCGCTGCTATCGACATGCGGTAATGAGCCAACATCACGAGCCAAGTCGCGAATTTGCCCAAGGTCATTGCAAAGAAGTACAGGGTCTTGAAAAGAGACCGATGTTAGCAAGAATCGATCATAGTATTCATCACTTGGAATGGGGCTTACAATTTGGCTGTTTCCAGTTGAGGGCGGTACATATATTTGGGTTATAAGAGGTGAAGACCACGGAGCGCATAAAATCAGGGTTCTTGTCGCGCGCAACACGCGCATGGTCGAAAACATCTGTGAGTATGGCATCGGCGAAGCTATTGACATCTGTCAAAGAAGTCATGCCTAGTGTCTGTTCCTCCGTGGGCGAGGGATAAAGGACTGAAAGATTGATGTTGATGTCAATAGGCAGCTGCTGCAGGACGTCTTGTAGGGAGAGGAATGATGCAGCCAAAAGACGATGGGTCTGGGCCATGTCATCAACCGCCTGAGTCTTTAAAAACTGCAACATTTCTTGTCGATTCGCACCCCTCTCAGCACCAACAAGACGAAACTGGTCGTGTGTAAGATGACAAATGGGAATCTCAATGCCATGGTAATCTATGGTAAATTGCGGATAAAGAACAGGCACACTATCACGAGTCAGCTGCACAAAAAGCTGGACGTGATCTCCCGACAGACTAGATCCCGTGACCAGTCCATTATGCTCCGAGTCGAGAGCACTAGTCGCTTTCCAATACGTGGCAAAATGGGTGATCTCTAGAGGATCTCCGTGATAAGGCTTGATCACTTGAAATCCAAAGCGCAGCTGGCCAATTGAGCGTAACCTAGGGTCAAAAAGGGGCAAAGAGCATTGCCCTGTACTGGATTTATCGGCTCGGAATACCACTGGTAGGGCGACACTCTTCGCAATGACCTTTGAGCCAAACGTAGGGAATATTTCAAAGTCAACGGCGAATGTGTCCAAATTGTCGACTTGAAATGAGATCATCCGCGAGTCATCCTGAATGGGAAGCATCATCGTGCGTGGAATCAAGTCGGAGAGCTTGGACGAAATTGTCAACCGAGCAGCGGGGTGACGACCCGCTTGGTCAAAGGAAATTGAATTTAAGCCACCTTGGTCGAATAAGATTTGAACAAACACTTTCTTGTCCAGGAAGTTATGGCCATAGCGTCTTAGTGGTATGATCGGTGGTGGGAGGGAGAGATCGGGAATGCCGTCAACAATCTCCATGTCACTGGATAACTCTTTCTCCCTATTGTATTGATCGATTGAAATCCCTTGCTCCTGTAATCTTAGACCATTTAGGATATCAAGTGGCTTCTGTGCAGAATTTGCATTAGTGCGGCGAGACCAAAGGAGAAGCATGCACTCCAAGTGTCCTTCCCACGCAGCGTAGTACATTGCGGCAAGACCTTTTTCGTCCACGACGTCGGCATCAACGCCTAGCTCAAGGAGTGTACGTAAACAATCGACGCAACCTTCGCTGGCTGCGTGGAAAAGCGGTGTCCACTGATACAACTTGTCTCTTTGATTCAGATCAGCGCCGTGGTGTTTGAGTAGTAGTAGCAATTGCGGAGATTGTGATGCACGCGCTACCATATGTTGAGGGTAAAGGCCCTCGGCGTCTGGTAGTAGTTGGGCATTCCGCTCAAGAAGCATTTTCACAACTTCCAACGAGCCATGCTGACACGCCAAATTTAGCGGGATATGGTCAGACTCGGAAGCAGGATTGATGCGGGCGTTGTTGTTAAGAAGTTGCTCAGCACATGCCAGTTGATTCTTTACAATGCTGTGGATTAGTGGTGTGAAATTATCATGGTCCATCCGATTGACGGTTTGGGGACCAGCGGCCAGCAACTCTAGCACCATCTCCACACGACCATGCATACAAGCATAGTGGAGTGGGATTCTCCCATAGACATCTGAACTCGAGATGTCAATTCCTGCTGTAATACCAGCTTTGAAGACTAAGTCTCGCCCAGAGATGGCGGCCTCATGCAGACAATTTCGTTCGTTAATATCATCCTCAGCATGGATATCAACTAGGCCACTTTCTAGAAGGGCGGTAAGAACCTCGTCGGAAAATTCATTGATAGCTGCCAAAAAAGTGCGTGTCGCGCGCTCCCGAGCGTCCGGGACTGACTGCAGCTTTGCGGTCCACTCGCGCAGGGTTTGGAGATTGCCTGCAGTGGCGGACTGCAAGATCTGTAAGTCAAGCTCGTCTTCATCTGTGCCAAAAGATTGAATGGCCGCAGCTCGGTCGATCGGGCGAGAAACATCAAATTGTATATTCTCTCCTTCTGCCCAAGCCTCAAGCTCCAACCGGGCTGTTGTTGCCCGGTCAGACAAATCACGTAAAACATCTCTATTGAAGCACGGCTGTACCTCGACTGCTCGTTGAAGATATAGTTCCTTCATGCGGGACTGTAAAAAACGGCATTAGCAATAACAGAATGATGACTGAGTATAAGGCTTGCGTAATCCGGACCTTTGAGGTTTTATCCCACTAAATCTCTCGTTAGCTATCCTGATTCTAGAAAGCCCATGGAGTCCACCAAAATTCACGAACCTTTTTTAATATTTTGGACACAGCGGTTTCGTTGATTTCGACAAATTGCTTTTATTTTTAAAAACGTGAGCATCCTTCTAGCGCAAGACTCTAGAGACGAGAAAACTCACTTGAAGCTTGTTTAGATCGCCATCAAACTGTTGAAGCCCCTCAAATAAGGCCACGAAATTTGCCGGCGCCTTGGAGTTAGTCACTGTCCGGGACTGGATCACCCTTTTCTTATCGACTAAAGTCTTTAAACGGAGAGAGAACTGGGTAGTTGACGGTCAGTTTGTTGCATAGTTAGCCGGCAGAGTACTCATCTGGGACTAACCTCGGCTTCTTTCTGTAGATAAAAGGCATTGACCTTTTCTATCTCACGTTCCTGTTCAAAACAAGCAATAAGCTATCTGGCCCCCTTCTTTGTTATTGATGAATGATCCGTACCAGCTTGAAAAAGAAAACTTCTTTATTTGCACGCAGGGCTGATTGCGTATCGGCTGCATTTTGGGATGTATCCGCAGTGGTTTGTGCTGGGATTGTCGGTGTAGCACTCAATTGCTTGATGAGCTGTGATTGAGTTATTAGCGGCGGCAGATCGAGGGAGATATTTTGATAAATCCACACCTTCTTCAAAGCCTTATAATTTACAAAACTCGCCGCATATTCGGGGAGATCTAGTTGTCTTCGCTGTATTTGTTTGCCGAACTTCCTGTGAGGCCAAGTATCAGCTCCAAGCACAAAAGGATATGCGCAATGATGTTGATGTGGGTTTCAATCGATTTCAAATGGGCCAAGATCATTCCTTTGAGAAGAAAAGTGGAGCACCTACATCTTCGAAAGCTCTCCGTGGGAGCTAAAGCTCTACCGGTCCCTCAAAAGCTCTCGTGCCTAGCAAGGCAAAGGCGGAGAGTCTAGCGAATTGACGTAATCTGGATAGAACGTAACTAAGAGTACCAATCGCAGGAATGATCCGGGTGGGCGAACAAGTAGGTCGATGGCAATGGGAAAGAGATGAAGAAAGAAGAAGAAGAAGAAGAACGGGAAGAGAGGGAAGGAAAGATGGGAAGCTGCACTACCAAGCAGAAGATCACAGACAATGGTGGAAAGAAGTAGGAATGGACGACGAAGCACGAGGTGGGGCGGGGAAGGGGGACGGCAGTCCCGTAGTTGCAAGCAGGATGCAAGAGAAGAACTGCTGCGACAAGAATGACTTGCAAGATGCAGTTCGGATGTTATGTCTGCAACCGCCTGCAGCAGAAACTGGAAATCCAACACTGTTGAGTAACGGAATTCCCACGAGGCTCTTCGGAGAAAGAGGAAGACGGAAGATGAAATAGAACCACAATGAGCACAGTGGGTGTAAAGTAGAATGGCGGCAGAGATGTAATGTAAGTAAGGCAGGCTAACACGGTTATACAGGGTGGGTAGGGAGTCCAACACCGTCTGTGAGAGCGCGTAAGTAAAAGGCAAGGTAGGTACCAGTTAGGTAGGTAGATTATTATGGATGGTCACACTGCAGACCAGCCAATGCGGGGCTCTGAACCCCAGTGGCAGAGCTTCCCAGACAAGAGAGAGCGGACTAGCGATGGCGACGATAGAATGGTCGGTAAGAGTAGGTAGTTGGGTACCTACCTAGGTAGGTAGTAGGAATGTAGTGGGTGGGTAGGAGCAAGTGTAAAGTAGGTTGTCCAGAGACTGCAAAGATGGAATTATCCCATAGAGTGGAAAGACTGGATGGAATGATGGAAGGAGGTGGAGCTGGCAAAGAGAGCTCTGGGTAGCTCGCCGGCAGCGTGCCAATCACGGGCGGTGGCCTGGCCACGTTCCTCCGGCTGGGTAAGCGGACCCTTGCAACGGCACACCAACCACAGCGGCTTCGATCACAACGTGTGCTGCAACTCAGGCAGAGTTAATATGTAGTGCATACCTAGATACGGTAGACTGACTGACTGCCTCGTGGTCATACTTTGCATGTCAGAATATGTCTATTGTTGATCTTCCATCTTCAATGATCTGACTGTGCATACTACATAGTACTATGTATGGAGGCGTTTATCATCTAGGCATCGGCAATTCATATTAAGACTGCACAAAATATTCCGGATAGCACTTCCTTGCCTGCCGCTAACCAGGATTGGAAGCCAACCCAAGTCCACGGTCAACCGCTGGCCAGGAAGAGCTTCTTGAGCCCTATCAACCAATCCCATTACTTGGTGTTATTGTATAGGTACCTTGTAGTGCCTTAATAGCCCCTAGAACAAGTATTTAGTACATAACTACCTATTGTCGTCCTATCCTAACATAATAATAATTCACAGGTCATTGCATCCTAGGTTATATGGACAGTTAAGAGGCACGTAATAGACCTCATCGAAGACCTCAAAATATATCCAATCCCAACTCGAAATAAACAGAATGAAGAACCATACAATTGAACGGCCCATACATGCCATGTGTAAAGTGCCAAGTTTCAAACCTCAAGGCACAATCCAATATGCACAAACGCAAACGGTTAAAAAAAGAAAAGAAAAGAAAAGAAAAGAAAAGAAAAGTAAAGTAAAAAAAAGAGAGAGACAGAGAGAAAAGGGGGGGGAGAGAGAAGAGGAGAAAAAGTACAGGAGATAGGAAAAATGAAACAAAAGACAGTACAGCAGGCGGGGGAATATATCAAAAAAGAAAAGAAAACAATCAAGAAATAAAAGAACCACAAAGAACCACAAAGAACCACAAAGAATCACAAAGAATCACAGGATCCATATTACGAATGGTAAATAATCAATAATCACATTCGAAGCGGAAGAAAAGTAGTTAGATGAAGGAGAGAAAATCGGTCAGTGAAACGAGGGAAACAGGCCAAGATCCGGGACCAAAAATGCCTTTTTTCTGGGTTAGAAACTGGATGACTTCTTAAATGCTGATATATCAATGCCCCATCGGTAGATAAGAAGAAAATGCATAGTTATATATGACCAGTCAAGAGCAACTTTTGGCGGAAACGACTCGCAATGAAAAATGGGCCAGAGGGGGGTTTTCCTGGGCAAAACGAACCTCCGTCCCGCTTCGGAATCTTCGACTAGCTCATAGGCATGCGGTACCCAAACTTGCAAAACCAAATCCAGATTCAAACCATGCTTCGCTTAAAAGTTCTGGGCGATGCCAGCATTGCCATGTCTGGGGAAAACGGCAGGGCTTTCAATCCGGGTATTGCGTCGTGCCTGAACGTCGCGAATTACCGGTTGGTTGCTCGAGTATGGCCCGTCTCCAGCGTAAGCCGTGTACTGTGGTTGCGCATCGTGGTAGTACGGGTTATCCTCATAGAAAGGCGCGCCGTTATGGGTGGTAGACATATGGCTCTCATCAGAAACTTCGGACCGGTTTGCTGCAGAATACGCGGAGGAAGCGTTGGATGGTCCACGGTGGATATCCGTAGTGCGGTTGGTAGCAGCCACCGGTGCAGAGCCCAAAACTCCGATCGTCTCGGTTTCCCCAGACGTTGGTCTTCCGTCCGAGTATCCAATGGTACCATCACTGGGGGTAGTTGCATGGTGATAACCAGGTGCACTTCCGGCCTCTGACATAGCCAATCCTCCAACTCCGCTAGACAAGTTTGTGGATGCTTTGCGGCCCGCGGAAGTGGTTCCCCATCCTCGGTATCCCGAAGTGTTGTCATCCTTCGGCTCAAAAGTACCACCCATGCCCACAGGGGGGAGACTAGGATAGTTATTCGGATTAAATCCATACTCCTCCACTTCTTTCCTCCGTTCTTCTTCCGCGGCCTTTTTACTCTTCCTCTTCTTCCAGAAGAAAAGAGCAGCTAGAATGATTACCGCGACAGAGACAACTGGTACCACCACGGCGACTGCTATGGTTCCACCAACCGAGAGTCCAGAGCTATCATTCGCAGCCGTCGTCGATATTGCGGACGATCCGCCTGTAGAAGATGCACCATTCGCCGAGTCTCCGGTCGTTTGAGAGGGCAAAACACCTGCGGTGGAAGTGATGACGATCGTCGTGGCGCCATTGCTAGTCGGTGTAATCGTGACCACATCATCGGTTGAGGAAGGCGAGGAGGTTGTGGGAGAAGTAGTTGTAGGTACCTCCGAACTTGAAGAAGAGCTGCTGGCGCTGGTAGTGGTTGGCGTTTCCGGTGTGGTCGAAGAAATTGACGATGACGATGACGTTGATGTCGGAGATGGCGTTTCCGTTGTACTTTCAGATGGTGTTGTCTCTGCCGTTGTCTCTGCAGAAGTCTCTGTAGGTGTTCCCGATGCTGTTGCTTCCGATGATGACGATGATGATGTTGTCTCAACTGGGGCCGGAGTAGGAGCCGGCGAGGCGACATCCGTGGCGCCAGTCGCCGCCGGAACCGCTGCTATGGGGGAATTTTAGCGCATTGCCCAGTTGCTTTGCGGCATGGCAAACCGTAGAGTTATATATCAAATATGGAGATATTTATCATACCGGAAGTTGTTGCCATTTTTTTTCTTCTTTTCTTCTCTTTTCTTTTTTTTCAGAAAAAAGCTGGCTTTTCAACCAGACGTCAGAACCACCCAATGACTCTGTACACACCCAGTTTCCTTGTCACCGGCGCTGATTGAATTTATTTTCGCTATGGCTGGCACAAACGCTTTTTGATAAGTTGTGATGTAATCAAATAAAGGTAAGGACTGGATATATTTTCTTGTGTCCTTTCGAATTTATATATCCCAGTCTATAAAATCGAAAGATTATCGATGGACCGTAGTTATTTCGTGAATTGGTGACAAACTCAAGACTGAATAAAGAAAGTTCCCCGCTGAGAAAATTACCGTGGGGGGGCGTGTGATTAGGGTGATAAAGGCGAAGAATGAGGAATAGATACGATAATAGCCAAAAAAAAAAAAAAAAAAAAAATAAGGACCGTATAGGCCAACCAAAGAAGGCTGGACACAAGAGATGATGGCAATGAAGCGTTTCGACCGGGGTTGGTGGAGGAGAAGCGCGCAAGAAGGAATCTGAGCGGCCTAACAAAAAGGATGGTCAGGGGAAGCACCTATCCGACGATTGAGAAGAACAAGACTTGTCTATCTCAGACCTGAACAAGAACTTCTCAAGGCAGGCACAGCAATACTAATCGGGAGCCATTAGATAGCAGCAATCCGGCAAGAAGAGGAAAAAAGGGAAAGGAAAGGGACGAAAGAAAGGAACGAATGAATGAAGAGGTGGTAGGTCAGAATCATCCCAGATCACTGAAACCGGGCTGTACGCCTGAAAATACGGGTGCGGGCGACTTTTGGGCTGAGGGCAGCCGCTGAAAGGCGGGCGGCGCCGCTGCAACTGGCAGGAAAACCGCGATCGGCATCCACAATAAAACACGGTCGATACGGGCGTTGGACGGAATAATACTGGACGAGGCAAAAGCCTTGACACAGCCTGGATCTCTTTTGGATCTGACATTTGGTTGCAGTAGGTTGGCTATTTTTGTTCATCATATAACCATCAATCATTCTTGGATCTGATTATTCTTCTATCCAGCATACAGAGAGACTACAACTGTAACTATCACAACTGCAGATCGGAAATTGGCAGTCCATCCCCCTGATCGCGTGGTCAGGGCTATCGTATCACCACCCACTATGGGCATATCATCATTTTCACCACTTTTATTTTCTTTTTCTTTCTTTCTTTCTTTCTTTCTTTTTTTTTTT